ACATTTTGACCCCTTGACCCCAAAATCAATAGGGGTCATCTACTGGTCATGACCAATCACCATACCAAGTTTGAAGTTCCTAGGCCTTAAGGTTCTTTAGTTATTGATCCGGAAACCGTTTTTGCTTTCAAGGTCAATGTGACCTTGACCTTTTGACCCCTTGACCCCAAAATCAATAGGGGTCATCTACTGGTCATGACCAATCACCATACCAAGTTTGAAGTTCCTAGGCCTAAGGGTTCTTTAGTTATCACTCGGAAACCATTTGGTCTACGGACCGACGGACCGACGGACCGACGGACCGACAAGTGCAAAGCAATATACCCCCTTTTTTTCAAAATGGGGGCATAATAATTGATGCTTCTCCTACAGGTTTAAATTAAAATCTAAAGTATGTTGAACAAAGTAATAAAGGATTGAGTGCAATATTTTAAGAGTATATATGTACATCATATGAAACCTGGGTGTAAAGTTCAACCAGAACAAGATAAATAACCTTGAAACTTGTTTGAAAATAAAATATGCACATCTGCATCAAATACTTGTATATTTCATTACTATTAATTACAACAAAATGTTTTAAAGATATAGCCTAGACAACAATTTTTCAAAGTGACATTATGCCCATTCAGGTGTAAATAATAAGTGTACAGATAAAAGTCAAAAATTACTTATCACATTATTTCTTTTCAATTGCAAAAATTATCAATATACTAACGAAAATTTCTAAAACTAGAAAACTTTATTGAAGTCAAACAAGATGTAAAGATTAAGCCAAATCATAATGATTGGTTAAAAAAAAATGATATCAACGGGACATAACTGTATGAAATCTAATGAAAGCAAAACCAAATTGCAAGGGAGATATATAACTATACGTACTAAGAAAAGAAACATAGACAAAATACCTGTCAAGGTTTTATAAGCATTAAATTTAGATGGTAAATGAGACTTAAGGCCCTCTAAGTTATTCAATTATTTAAGCAGAATTTCTGATTATTTATAATTGTACATCCATGCTATAATAATCAATTTATAATCAATTTGAAATATGTCATTGAAATACAACAAGGCTGGAAACAAGAGCTGTCGGTAGGACAGCAACGCTCGACTATTCTAAGTGCTTGATAGTAAAAAAATGCTTGATACAGTTACCTCCTCCTGTTTACAGGTTGGGGTAATGATGGTGAACAAGTGTGCAAAGTTTCAAAGCCATATGTCAATGGACTTTGAAAATATTTTAACTATTACAAAAACTTTAATGTAAATTCTAAGTCGAAAAAGGGGCATAATTCTGTCAAAATGCTTGATAGAGTTACCTCCTCCTGTCTACAGGTTGGGATCATGATGGTGAACAAGTGTGCAAAGTTTCAAAGCCATATGTCAATGGACTTGGAAAATATTTGAACTATTACAAAAACTTTAACGTAAATTCTAAGTCGAAAAAGGGGCATAATTCTGTCAAAATGCTTGATAGAGTTACCTCCTCCTGTCTACAGGTTGGGGTCATGATGGTGAACAAGTGTGCAAAGTTTCAAAGCCATATGTCAATGGACTTTGAAAATATTTTAACTATTACAAAAACTTTAACGTAAATGCTAAGTCGAAAAAGGGGCATAATTCTGTCAAAATGCTTGATAGAGTTACCTCCTCCTGTCTACAGATTGGGGTCATGATGGTGAACAAGTGTGCAAAGTTTCAAAGCCATATGTCAATGGACTTGGAAAATATTTGAACTATTACAAAAACTTTAACGTAAATTCTAAGTCAAAAAAGGGGCATAATTCTGTCAAAATGCTTGATAGAGTTACCTCCTCCTGTGTACAGGTTGGGGTCATGATGGTGAACAAGTGTGCAAAGTTTCAAAGCCATATGTCAATGGACTTTGAAAATATTTTAACTATTACAAAAACTTTAACGTAAATTCTAAGTCGAACAAGAGCTGTCGGTAGGACAGCAACGCTCGACTTTCTTAGTGCTTGATAGTAAAAAAAAATGCTTGATACAATTACATCCTCCTGTTTACAGGTTGGGCTAATGATGGTGAACAAGATTAGTGTGCAAAGTTTCAAAGCCATATGTCAATGGACTTTGAAAATATTTGAACTATTACAAAAACTTTAACGTAAATTCTAAGTCGAAAAAGGGGCATAATTCTGTCAAAATGCTTGATACAGTTACCTCCTCCTGTTTACAGGTTGGGGTCATGATGGTGAACAAGTGTTCAAAGTTTCAAAGCCATATGTCAATGGACTTTGAAAATATTTGAACTATTACAAAAACTTTAACGTAAATTCTAAGTCGAAAAAGGGGCATAATTCTGTCAAAATGCTTGATACAGTTACCTCCTCCTGTCTACAGGTTGGGGTCATGATGGTGAACAAGTGTGCAAAGTTTCAAAGCCATATGTCAATGGACTTTGAAAATATTTGAATTATTACAAAAACTTTAACGTAAATTCTAAGTCAAAAAAGGGGCATAATTCTGTCAAAATGCTTGATACAGTTACCTCCTCCTGTCTACAGGTTGGGGTCATGATGGTGAACAAGTGTGCAAAGTTTCAAAGCCATATGTCAATGGACTTTGAAAATATTTGAACTATTACAAAAACTTTAACGTAAATTCTAAGTCGAAAAAGGGGCATAATTCTGTCAAAATGCTTGATACAGTTACCTCCTCCTGTCTACAGGTTGGGGTCATGATGGTGAACAAGTGTGCCAAGTTACAAAGCCATATGTCAATGGACTTTGAAAATATTTGAACTATTACAAAAACTTTAACATAAGTGGTTACGCCGACGCGGACACCAACGCCGACGCCGACGCTCGGGTGACTACAATAGCTCTACTTATTCTTATCGAATAGTCGAGCTAAAAAGGGGCATAATTCTGTCAAAATGCTTGATAGAGTTACCTCCTCCTGTCTACAGATTGGGGTCATGATGGTGAACAAGTGTGCAAAGTTTCAAAGCCATATGTCAATGGACTTTGAAAATATTTGAACTATTACAAAAACTTTAACATAAGTGGTTACGCCGACGCCGACGCTCGGGTGACTGCAATAGCTCTACTTATTCTTATCGAATAGTTGAGCTAAAAAACCTTCACTATAAATTTTTAATGGCATATCTTGCAATATAATACATTAGAAAACTATTTATCAAATGACACCATATATTTACATCTTTTAACATAGGGCAGAAGTCATTAACTCTCACCATTGCCAGTAACTGGGTCAAATACCACTGATACTTTAGTATCGGAAATTAAAAAACATCTTTTTCATTAAGGCTGGGGCAAGTATCCGAGTACTCGGATAATCAGGAATCAAAATGAAAAGTCGAGTACGAATATTCGTCAGTCCAGAGATCGTAGATTGCGATCTTATTTGTTTATTATACATTCGCTGTTTCTTACACATTAAATGTCAAAAAAAAATGTGTATGAATTATGCGGCCTTTACCTAAATACAATTTGCTCATTAAAGACAGAAAGTAAACAAACATTTACCATGATGCTGAGCTAGGAAGTCATTAGTTTCGAAAAAGGAATCACTTTATCTTTATTGAGCACTTATTTTCAAATGAAAATAATGAATAGTTTTAGTAGCTATGTATAGATCTATAATGACCTGACATGTATTTTGTCAACATTGTAAGTTTAATTTTTTTTTTTTGGTTGGGTTTTATGTAGGGATGGCAACGAATACCAAAATTAATACTCGAGTACTCGGTCATTTTCCGATCGAGTACTCGGTTACTTGGACGATTTCCAATGATCTTCAAAGTTTATCACACAATAACAACAACGTCCACATGCTACATTCATTTTCTATTTACATTCATAGAATTCGTAACTACAGATAGGACTGCGAAGGAGACAAATGAATTAAAATTAAATCAACGACATTATACTTTAGAACATTTTAATTAATGTAATATCAAGTTTAAAACATCTTTAGCATTTGATACATCTTTTTCTTCTTGTAATAAAATAGACTGATCGGCGGCAACAAAAGTTTAACCAGGTCTAAATACTACCTTAATTATTATACCATAATAGCAATACGGCCCTTTGTTGTTTTCAAAAATGTTACCTTAAAACAAGATTCGGGTACAAACTGCATTATGTAACACAATTAAAGGTTACTAAATATCATAAGAGGCCCGATGACGTAAGCGACACATGTGCGCGTGTCAAACTGTTGATCGCCTCATTAAATTTATGGTATCATGTTCGCACCTCTGCAAGGAAGTTGTGATTGCATTTAACAGGTAATTATGAAGGTATAAGCACATCTTCGAATTTTTGATAATTGGATACACCAGACTGTCTAAATAGCAAATAAAATAGAAAGTATACATTTTGTTAACCGATATTCGGACGTTCGATCGAGTACTCGGTTAACCGGTTACTCGTTGCCATCCCTAGTTTTATGTTGCATCAACACAATATAGGTCATATATGGCAACTTACCACCTTTACTGGTGGAGGAATACCTCAGGTGCCCTTCCATGCATTATTTCAGGCACGAACGGACACCAAAGTAGAACCATCAACAATCCGTAAGCTAGCTGGATACAGTTTAATCACATTAAAGAATCCAACGTCCCTGTTGAGATTCAAACCCACAGTGGTAAGGGGCAAGTGGTTTAAAGCACTCAGCCACAGATACCCCCCCCCCCCCTTAACTATTTCAGGCAGAATGTGATTAAAATCTTAAATCTTTTAGGAAAATCACATCACATATTATAGTTCACTTCTTGGACTAACAAATACTAACATCAATGAAGAAATTAAACATGACTGGCACGCAAATTGCGATAAGTCTTATTGTTCCTGGGGTGAGTGGCAGACACCTCAATCACAGGGCGACTGATTGTTTAGAGAGAACATGTTATTATGGTCAAATATCAAACCCTTTACTCCAAATTTAAACAAGAAAGTGTCATTCCTTAAATGAAATGATAAAGAAGCATAAAATAGGTTTGGTATACTTACAGTTACATCAAGTTCTAGAATATCACATTCCTGAGACAATAACGATGATACATTAGGTAACGTCCGTCCAAAGTCACTGTGCACAAATTCTTTAACATATCTGATCTCATAGTCAAGGATTTGAAGAATTTATATAACAACTATAAAATCTGCAAGGTATTAAAGACTTTTTTGGTTTTTTTTTTATATAACAGGACTGGAATTAATTTTTTCATGATTTCTGCACCATTTCATGTAGATCTAGGTCTGGACCATTTAATTGTGTGCAAATTTTCAGACAATTTGCTCACTATGTATTTTTTCAGAATAATGTTCTTTATTGTGCAAAATGATTCAAAATTTAAAAGCTTTTATTTACTGTTACAAGTGCTCCAATTGTCCTATGTAAGAATTTCAATGTTCATGTTTTATACTTCTTTAAATGAGAGGACAATCTAAAAGAGACTGTAATTTGCCTTAATTGGGTACAGAGTCAAAAAACAGTCTTAAAGAGACAATGATTTGGGCTGACAGTCTAAATGAGACCATGATTTACATTCAATGGTTGAACAGTCTAAATGAGACCATGATTTACATTAAAAAGGTTAACAATCCAAACAAGAGGGCCATGATGGCCCTGAGGTCGCTCACCTGTATATAGCCCCCCCCCCCCCAATGTTGCAGGGCCAATATAACCCAAGGGCTTTTATTTGCAAAAACTTGGTAGACACCCATAAGAAGATGTTTCATGCTAAACATCTAAGCTCTAGCTCATTGGGCTTTTTAAAAGAAGATTTTTTAAAAGTTTTTACTATACACATATAGTTAAAAACAATGACACCCCAGGGGCCGGGCCAGTTTTGACCCCAGGGCTTTTATTTGAACAAACTTTGTAGACACTTACTAGAAGATGTTTCATGCTAAATATCTAAACTCTAGCTATTTGAGTTTTTTCAAAGAAGATTTTAAGTTTTTGCTATACACATATAAAGAAAATCAATGACCCCCGGGGCGGGGCCAATTTTGACCTCAGGTCTTTTATTTAAACAAACTTTGTAGACACTCACTAAAAGATGTTTCATGCGTAATATCTTAACTCTAGCTATTTGGGTTTTTTCAAAAAAGATTTTTTAAGTTTTTACTATATGCATATAGGGAAAATCAATGACCCCCTGGGGCGGTGCCAATTTTGACCCCAGGGCTTTTATTTGAACAAACTTGGTAGACACCTATTAGAACATGTTTGATGCTAAATATCTTAGCCATAGCTCTTTGAGTTCTTTAAAAGAAAATTTTTTAAGTTTTTACTATATGCATATAGGGAAAATCAATGACCCCCCGGAGCGGGACCAATTTTGACCCCAGGGCTTTTATTTGAACAAACTTGGTAGACACCCATTAGAACATGTTTCATGCTAAATATCTTAGCTCTAGCTCTTTGGGTTCTTTAAAAGAAGATTTTTTAAGTTTTTACTATATGCATATAGGGAAAATCAATGACCCCCGGGGCGGGGCCAATTTTGACCCCAGGGCTTTTATTTGAACAAACTTGGTAGACACTCACTAGAAGATGTTTCATGCCAAATATCTAAGCTCTAGCTCTTATGGTTTTTTAAAAGAAGATATTTAAAGTTTTTTCTTTTGGTTGCTATGGCAACCAGAGTTCTGCATGGAATTAAATTCTTTGAACAATCTTTAAAGGTGACCACCAAATGAACATTCCTGTGAAGTTTGGATGAAATTGGCTTAGTGGTTTATGAAGAGATGTCATTTAAAGAAAAAGTTTACGGACGACAGACGAACGCCGGATGAAAAGCGATCACAAAAGCTCACCCTGTCACTTTGTGAGCTAAAAAGACCATGATTTACAATTAATAAAGGGGCAGTATAATCAGTTGTTCTGAATTAACTTTAAAATATTAAATGGACAAGTAATAAATGTTTACAGTAAAAAAGAAGTCAAAATAAGATTTTGCTGGCGCTGTTTATGAGTGAAAGCCTAAAAGAGATCATGATTTACATTGAATAAGTAGACAGTTTAGAGGAGACCATGATTTACATTAAATGAGTGGACTGACTAAAAGAGATCATGATTTACATTAAATGAATGGGCTGACTAGAAGAGATCATAATTTATATTTAAAGTGGACAGTCAAGAGGAGACCATGATTTACATTAATTGAGTGGGCTGACTAGAAGAGACCATGATTTACATTAAATGAGTGGACTGACTAAAAAATATCATGATTTTCATTAAATGAATGGGTTGACTAGAAGAGATTATGATTTACATTAAGAGTGGACAGTCTAGAGGAGACCATGATTTATATTTAAAGAGTGGACAGTCTAGAGGAGACCATGATTTACATTAAATGAGTGGACTGACTAAAAAATATCATGATTTTCATTAAATGAATGGGTTGACTAGAAGAGATTATGATTTACATTAAGAGTGGACAGTCTAGAGGAGACCATGATTTATATTAAATGAGTAGGCAGTCTAAAGGAAACCATGATTTACAATAAATGAGAAGACAGTCTAAAGGAGACATGATTTATATTTAATGAGTAACCAGTCTAAAGGAGACCATGATTTATATTAAATGAGTAGACAGACTAGAAGAGACCATGATTTACATTAAACAAGTGGACAGACTAGAAGAGACCATGATTTACATTAACAAGTGGACAGACTAGAAGAGACCATGATTTACATTAAACAAGTGGACAAACTAGAAGAGACCATGATTTACATTAAATAAGTGGACAGACTAGAAGAGACCATGATTTTCATTAAATAAGTGGACAGTCTAGAGGAGACCATGATTTATATTTAATGAGTAGACATTCTAGAGGAGACCATGATTTGTATTAAATGAGTAGACAGTCTAGAGGAGACCATAAATGAGTAGAAACACTAAAAAAGACCATGATTTACATAAAATGTATGGACAGACTAGAATAGACCATGATTTACTTTAAATGTCTGAACAGACTAGAAGAGACCAAGATTTACATTAAATAATTGGACAGATTAGAAGAGACCATGATACACATCAAAAGAGTGGATAGTCTAGAGCAGACGATGATTTACATTAAAAGAGTGGACAGACTAGAGATCATGATTTACATGAAACGAGCAGGCAGACTAAAATGGACCATGATTTACATAAACAAGGATACGTCCCAGCTTGTGTTGACATTTCCAGCATGAAATGATTCTGATCTTTTCTGTTTGCTGACATCTCATGAATTATTCTATCTCGTGTTGCCAAAGGTCGTCTGAAATATTGTTATTCATGTGTGACAAAAAAATATACCAAAAGTATTGTTCACATTGATTTTTTTTTATAAATGAATAATCATCACCAAATTTGTCATTATTCACTGGTCTGCTAAGGGTATATAATGTACTTTGAATTTGAAAGTGTGTAATGATTGTTTATGGGATTACTCACTGGATTAATAAGATTAATCAGACAATAGTAGAATCTAGCCCGACCATACAGACGTGCACACTGACCAGGCTCTAAACTAGGGGAGGACAAAGCTGTAACAGGTAAACCAAAGGGACTGTCTAGTATAAGTCAATGCTTGGTTGGAAAAATAATACAGAATCTAAAAACTTGTCCATTGTAACAGTTTAACAACATTCTTTATGTAAGGTACATGTATATACACATGTATCTGAAAGCTATTTCTGTTAGGTACATGTATGTCTGAAAACTATTTCTTATTTCTTGTAAGGCACATGTGTATATTATCTGAAACTATTTCATAATCATCATCATACAATGTACCTCAAGTAAAATGTCTTTTACCTAACAATTTTAGCTCTTAAAATGTTCATAAAAATGATAAGTTTAACAAATAATATTTTTCCATTCCTTTACTTTCAAAAATTTTCAACTACTCTCAACTGTACCAGATTCATATGGAAACTAGAAATGTGTCATCATGCCACGCATGCCCCCGCATGCAGCCAAAATTTCAGATGGTGCATTTAAGTTCAAAGCCCTTAAAACTTTTCAATGTTAACACAAACCATTTTCATACAATGTTCAAGGCACTGAAATTATTCAGTCTTAACCTTTTAAAAATAGCATATTGCATATTTGTAGCCAAAATTATGGCTAAAAGAATGCTGAAACTGAAAGTTCAAAATTTTTCCAACATTCAGGAAAGATAAGTTTGTCTAAATTCATTGAACCACGACCAAATTCAAACTTATACTGCTTATTCCTAAGATGTATCTATATTATTTTCAAAGTGAAAGGGACATAACTCTGCCAAAAATTCATCAAACCATGACCAAATTCCAACTTGACCTGCCCATTCCTTTGACATATCCATATGTCAAATTTAAGTTGAATATGTAACACTGTTGGGTAGATAATGAACAGAAACTGTAAATTTCATATTATTTTCAAAGTGAAAGGGGCATTACTCTGCCAAAAATCATTGAACCATGACCAAATTTGAACTTGGCCTGGGCATTCCAAAAACATATCCATAAGTCAAATTTGAGTTAAATGTGTTGTACCATTGGGGAGATTATAAATAAATGGAAACTGAAAATTTCATATTACTTTCAAAGTGAAAGGGGCATAACTCCAAACCATGACCAAATTTGAACTTGACCTGCGCATTCCTTTGACGCATCCATATGTCAAGTTTGAGTTGAATGTGTTGTACCTTTGGGGAGATAATGAACGGAAACTGAAAATTTCATATTGTTTTCAAAGTAAAAGGGGCATAACTCTGCCAAAAATCATCGAACCATGACCAAATTCGAACTTGACCTGTATTTTCTCATGACATATCCATATGTCAAGTTTGAGTTGAATGTGTTGTACCGTTGGGGAGATAATAAACGGAAACTGAAATTTCATATTATTTTCAAAGTAAAAGGGGCATAACTCTGCCAAAAATCATCGAACCATGACCAAATTCGAACTTGACCTGTATTTTCTCATGACATATCCATATGTCAAGTTTGAGTTCAATGTGTTGTACCGTTGGGGAGATAATGAACGGGAACTGAAATTTCATATTATTTTCAAAGTAAAAGGGGCATAACTCTGCCAAAAATCATCGAACCATGACCAAATTCGAACTTGACCTGTATTTTCTCATGACATATCCATATGTCAAATTTGAGTTGAATGTGTGCAACCGTTCTTAAGATAATGAAAGGAAACTGATTATGACGGAATGACAGAATGACAGAAGGACGGAAGGATGGAAGGACGGAAGGACGGAATGACGGAACAGGGTAACACTATCTGCCCGGCCATTACATGGCGGGGGCATAAAAACAACAACATTGTTGTGACCAAACTAGGGTTCAAACCCATAAACTATATACATTAACATTTCTTCATACTATTTCAAAATAGGATTAATTTCCAAATTTCAACATTGTAAACTGTACTTACCTATGGAGCACTCTGATAGGAGTTTTCTGTAGAATTGTTAAGTTCTGAAATTATCAGAAAGTTTAGAATAGAAATAGAACACAATTCACATTAGAATTCAACAGAACAATTATACAAAATTTCCTAAATACTTGTACATGTAACACTGTACATGTAAAAATATTGTAAATAAAGTTTATGTTACACAATAAACATACAATTTTTCTATTTTCATTGAGGGTAAATAACCAATATTTAAAAATCTCTACATCCTTAATGTAAGAAAATAGATATCGGTATAAATCCATCTTTTCATTATTTCCCTTTGTTAAGTTGAAAATTATGGGTGAGATTTGCAAACAATGTCTTTCTAAACAACCATCAAATGGTAATATTGTATTTGAAACAGCACATGTGTCATGGTAATAACTATAGGTTTCTTTAAAATACCCAAAGATTTTAGCATACATTTACTAAATCTATTACCATGCATGAAAAGGCTAACATATGGAAAACATTTTTTTATTTCAAGAAAATTTGTATTTAATTTTCACTAAAAAAAATAAAAAAAGAAGTCTTTACTTTAATATTTGATAATGTGGCAAGTTGTTCATCTGTTACAGGAAGCTTTGACCAGCAAAGGGCGCTATATCTCTTCACTTTGTCGATCTCTCCTTGCTTTAAAATGTCCGTCTCTTCTCTACATGAATATATCAACATTGAATAAAATATTATAGTGGAACCCCATTGTATCGTGCTATTCATTGTATCGATCTATTTACAAATCTTTCGATTTTTTCAAAATGCACTAGCTACTGATTGCTAACATTTACAACAGTGTCACGAAATTCTTTCGCATTTGTTTCGAGCCGAAAAACTGACCAAAAACATGTTTCCCGTACCGTCAGACTTTGTAGATAATAAATAGACTTATAAATAGTGTGTTCTTATTAAAAGCACATTTCTGTCTGTTGAAAGTTCCTAAATTTATGCTGACATTTTAAAACAGACATCTTTGATTCTAATTGACTGAAAAATCTAGCATAAAGATGGGTCAGGGTTCCCAAACTTTGACTAACTGAGCGATTCTCACAATGCATCGATATAATGGCGAGACCTAATTCTTCAACCTGTTTGACATGTCTGTAAATATCCGTATATTCCAAAGCTAAAAAGTATAAATCAGTGATGTTTGCCATGTAAATATTATGACAAAGGGATCAAAATAAATGATACAAAATAAAGATTCAGGGATATTTGATTTTTTTAACTGCAGTTGTGATTTATAGGTAAATAGATCGATACAACGGGGTTCCAGGCTACTTTAAAGAATAAAATTGCTGAATATTTTAAAGATAAAGACATCTTAATATAAAATTTTTATACAATATGCAGCCATTTGTAGTAGTTCAATTGTATGGCTCCTTTTTAGTTTTGTTTTGTTTGGTTTGGTTTTACTTCCCAGCTCTATTGGTGAAGGAAGACTACAGGTACCCCTTCATGCATTATTTCAGGCAAGAATAGGCACTCAAGTAGAACCACTGGCATTTCATAAGCTAGCTGGATAGCTTTTCACATGACATAATTCAAAGTCCCAAGCATGATTCGTACCAACAGCATTGAGGGGCAAGTGGCAAGTGGTTTGAAGTCAACCACCTTAACCATTGGGCTATGCACACCCTGTAACATAAGTAATATTATCAACAATTTTATTTACAATATCAACAGAGAAGATATCAAATAGCTAATTATCACTTGTTAGAGAGAAACTGAAAGGTAGCTTTTCTAATTCATCGTGGATTTACTTACTTAGTGACAATCTGTAAATCTCTACACCTTATGTCTTTTGTATTTGCATTTATTGCCTGAAAATATCAAAAGAATTTATAATAATTCTCACATGAACGCATGATTAATTATGTCAAAAGTATTGTATCTTATCAATTAAAACATTTCCAATCCAGACAATTTCCAAATGGTAAAGGTTATAAGGGCTTATTTAAATGGAAATTGCTGTACTGAACAATAATTTTTTCTTAGAGGTGATCTCTCCACTCTGACTGTGTTAGAAGTATTCTCATGTATTCAGTACCTTCTGTATTTTTGTCATCTCATCTTGTGTTAGTTCTCTTCTTCTTGGGTTAACCAACTCTAATACAAATGGTCGTCCTGAAAAAGCAATGTAAACTTTATCTGATTTCAAATTAAATAAAACATGGATAAATAAAACCAATTAACACTTAACCTGCTGGGACCAAGAGTGATTAACCTTAGTCATCAGTTTAGAGCCAGGCCGGTCTGTATGTCTATGCACTCTATATGGTTGGTAGCTCAAGTTTTGTATTTTTATATTGATATCCCAGCAATTTTGAATGGACTGTTCTAAATTTAAAGCAGGGTAAAGCCATTATATAAATTCAGCAGTTTAGGGGTTAAGTTGACCTATTATCTTCTCATCAAGACAGTCATGCAGTTACAAAATTGCACGATCAAAAAAAAATCTACAAAAAAAATCTATAGTCTAATAATATCTACCCAGCTTATTGTTAGTTCAGATACTCAGTTTGAACTATAGCCTAACACTTATTACATCTGAAATAACTTGTGCGTCACTGGCACTCCCTATTTCCCAAACTGTGATTACTTTGCTACGAAAACATTAAATATCGGTAAAGACAACATTTTAGCTACTTTAAATTCAAAGTCTATACAGGCCTACCATTTCCCAACATAAGAACATCCACATCTTCTCGTCCAGATGATGAAAACTTTATCTCTGAAAAAGATCATAAACATGCTGTATAGATAAAAATCCTGATTAAAAGTGAACCTTTTATTGAAATTTTTTTAAGGTGGGAGGGGGTAAAGTTAAACAATCTGCACAACCGAACTTGGTGGCGATTCATCATGGTGGCAGTTTCCATTAAAGTTTAACATTAGATTGTAGACAAAAACAAAATGCCATATATTTTCCAGACAGAATTAAATAGCTATCATCGCATGAACAGTTATCGAACAAGAATACTACATTTAGACAAATATTTACCCGACGGTTTGAAAATCTTCTTTATCTCTCCTTCAAGTAGTTCCTCTACGGAAGATTCTGTTTTACTTACACCATCAATTAACCATGGTGTCTGACTCAGTGACCTACTGTATTTGTTGTATCTACCTGGAAAAAAATCATACATACATATACATGTATATATAAATATACACACGTAAAAATCACATTAAAAATCAGCATGCCACAGTCGGGACCCCAACAACGGGTCTCTGGATTGCAAGGTCCAGTATGACAATTTTTCTTGTAACTTTTCTGTGTATGATTTCCCGCTCATAAAAAAGTCATGATTTGGAAATTATATATATATATATTGTATTTATTATAAACTAATGAAACTGACAAGTCAAATTATATCTAACAAAATATTATTCATCATATATAAATCATGTTATAATCATAAATAATTTGAAAAGCATTTGCACATGTAACTAGTGTCACTAAATCTTAGGCCATTCAAATTTCTTGTATTTTTAACCCTAACTTGTTGAAATTCCTTATAGACTTACTCTGGAATTAAGAATATTTTGGGTTTTCCAAGCTAATCCAGGGCTACAAACAAATTTTTACAGTTACAGCTTCGAAAATATGCGCAGTAGGCTGACTTTTTTTCTGAACGGTAGTGCACAATGAAGCTGTAGCGGCAAAAGTTTGTACCAGGGGATTAGCTTCAGAGTTCAAGATTACAACTATTTTGAGAGGAGGGAAATACTTACCAGCAATAAATATATTCTCATTTTGGCACTTGACATCACATTTAGTATATGATCGTGGTTTTGATGGAGGGCATTGGTAACTCCTTAAAAATGGAATGATAAAAATTTACAGTCAAACAACTCTGTCCAATATAATTCATAACAAAATTGTTTTTATGTAAAAATCTGCTACGAAAATGTTTGATTTTTATTATGTGAAAATGTTTGATTTTCATTATTTAGAAAATTTAGTTCTTCACAAAAGAAGGCTAATAAAAGTACAAGAATGGTCTTAGTAGATTTGTGGGGGACATATTGTTTAACCATATCAGATAACAAAAATATTTGTCATCAAACATTTCCTTATGTCAAGAAATCTTTTGTTTACATGTGAACTAATTGTAAAACAAATTTTTAAATTAAAAAGCTCTGAAGAAGGCCTTATTATCGCAACTTTTATTGGTTGATTTTTCAACTGATGGGATAAAACTTTATAATGTACATAAGTTTATATAATTTCAGACAAAAGGTGCATATGAGTTGAAGAAACAACCCTCAATATTACTAGAAAGGCTCCTCAAAAGTAACAATTTTAATATCCCAGTCTGAAATAAGTCTATGCTCTCACCTTAATACTTTCATTGAGATGCAGTGCAGTTATCAATATCAATCAATATCAAAAAAAGTAAAACATCATAAACCTTTTAAATTCCTCTGTGGACATATCTTCTGCAGCTTTGGCGACATTTGACCGAGTATACACTGCAAATGTTGTCTTCCGTCGGTTATAACGTCTATCCTGCTTCCTTTTCCTGAATGTGTCATCTGTTTCTGCATCTAATCTAAAACATGAATATACAGCATGAATAAGTTTTAATTGTGAATTTGTTCAAAACAAAACATAAAATCTAAGAAAAAATAGGACAATCAATTAAAAATTGTTTGTCTGTTTGTTTGTTTTGTTTTATGTCACAGCAATATTACAAAGGCATGTGTGCATGTTCAAAATGAACAATACATTAACCATTATTTTTATTTCTGTCATATAGAACTAGAACTCCGCGAGTCGGATGTGTCGCCTTGTGAACAATATAGTTTAGGAGAAATGGCCGGAACAAAAATGAAAGATGAAAACTAACAAAGGGCAATTACTCAAAAAATAATAAGTGCAGAGCAGCAGTTTCTGTGCACTGCACTTCTTATCAATAAGATCTATCACTCTATGAAGTTTCAAGTCCATATCTTTAATAATTTATGAGAAATAGCCTGGACAAAAATAAAGAACTAAAATAAATAAAGAGTAATAACTCACAAATAAGAAGTGCAGGGTACCGGTTCTAAGTAATGTACACTGCACTTTTTCTTAATGAGATCTATCATCCTATGAAGTTTCATGTCCATAGCTTACATACTTGAGGAGAAATGACCGGGACAAAAATAAAGTATAAAAATTAACAAAGGGCAATAACTCAAAAATAAGAAATGCAGAGTACCTGTTCTTGTGCTCTGCACTTTTTTTTAATGAGATCTATCATCCTATGAAGTTTCAAGTCCATGGCTTTTATAGTTGAAGAGAAATGGCCCGGACAAAATTAAAGAATGAAAATTAACAAAGGGCAATAACTCAAGAATTAAGATGTGCAGAGTACCGGTCCTTGTGCACTGCACTTCCGGTTATTGAAAGAAGCATGCATACCAAGTTTGAAGTCAATCAGACTTATAGTAACTGAGTTATGCTCAGGACAAGCTTTAGGGGACGCCGACACCGCCGCCGACAAAAGTAACTCCTATATGTCACCTTTTCAAGGCGACATAAAAAGACAGCTTTCAGGAGAATAAAAACCTGGACTTCAGGCAAATGTCTGAAAATTTGTACCCATGTTTTATGGTGACATTCCAGTTTTGCTGGTGTAGGAAGACCTCAGGTTCATGCATTACTTTCGGCATGAGCCTGCACTTTAGTAAACCACCAACCTTCTGTACGATAGCTGAATAGCTTCCTCTCATGAAATAATCCAAAATTTGATGGGATTTTAACCCACAGCCTTGATGGACCAATGATTTGAAGTTGATGACCTTTACTACTTGGCAAAATCAATGTGACTGCAAAATGGCTCTCAAGAAAATAAAAACCTTTATTGTATCAATAAACATTAATTGATTTCAAATACAATTTGATACAGGACTTACAAAAAGCTACACTCCCTGTTTGAGTTCTCATATTGGAATGTCATAGTGACTTCAAATTTGCTCTTAAAATCAAATGCTGCTCCAAGTAAATCTGTCAACAGAGGACCACATCTCCACTTCCATATGTCTTTTATCTGTGCCACATCTGTATATTTTTTATTTTCATACACTGAACTGAATACAGATAAAAAGTAATAGTAAAATTCAAAGCGGTTTAGTAAGGTTCAAAATCCTAAAACGGCACACATCAAACAGTAAAATATATAAAAATATGCTAAGAATTTAAGGCCCATTATTTCTCAGAAATAGAGGATATTCAAGTTTTTTCTATAAATACATGATTTATTTTCATCGAGTGGTATGAAAATAAATATTTCATGAGTGGCGGTAGCCACGAGTGAAATATGGTAATTTTCATGCCACAAGATGAAAATAAATCATGTATTTATAGAGAAAACTTGAATTTTCTGTTTATTATATACATTTTTCTCTTTTTTGCGATAAAATTTGAAAGACTTTCCCTTAAATTTTGTGTACTGGCAGAATTTAAAAGAAAGAAGTCCGGCAAGACACCAGTGAAAATACGGAAAATATGTTTCACTGCAGTGAAAAATAAATTTTTACAGTGAAAATACGGAAAATGAAAATACGCATTTTATTTCATCAATATTTCTCAATATTTCATTTATAAGTATATAATAAATGCTTTTATTTATCAAAAACTTTTTCAATTTTTGTGTATTTTAAGTAATGTTACTCATTTGCCAATTACCTAAATCATCTTTTCATCTGTTGCTTTTTGGCAATAAGTACAGTTATAGTGATTTTGTATTTTGTATGGAAGTTATTATACTAATTTTTTTTCATTTCGCTACTTTTATGACAATTACTTCATATTCATCACTTAGTACTTTTTCAGGTAACAAGCATGTAACATTCTAAATACATATGCATTATAAAAATCATGTTTACCTTTCTAAAGAAGTAAAAATTAATTTGTTTATGAGGCATAATGTGCCTTTAAAAACCAATTATTTGTAAGTAAAAGCATGCAAAAATAACTTTTCAATGTATGATCACAATATGCACAATTAAAATAATTACTTTGGCAAAGCAGAATAATGAAATCATCCGAAATTTTGCACTAAAGTTATTGGTCCAGACCTTCATCAAATGGTACATAAATTACAATAAAATAGTTCCAATATGTTATAATGTAAAAAAAAACGTTACTTGAGTCCCTTTAAAATAAAAGATGTTTGTATCCATTAGCAGTTACATTTCACCGTACACAATATTAACTGATTAAATATTCATCACAAGTCATCTTAACAGATTAAATGTTTACCATATGCATTATGATAACAAATCAAATATTTAAAATAACTATGAAATGTTCCCTATTTAAAATATTTGCCATCAGATTCTTTTCAGCAGAGATTATAGAGACTCGCTACATAATTTTGTTGACAGAATAAAAACATTGTTATTAACAGACTGCATGCTTAGTAAAAAATATAACATACCTGAACCTTTCTTTTAAATGTAACATCAGGGCATACTGAAGAAGAACAAATCATGATATATGCATTGTAACTTAAAAAAAAATCCTAAAAATACATTGTACTTTGTAATTGTCACAAATGTCACAGGCAAGGTAACCGTCAAATTGAAGGCTTAATAATTGACTCGTATACTTTCGTGACTTGAAACAGAGCAAATGATGACCAATCTTTTCAATGTATACTATGAAACTGATTCACCACTAATAGTGTATTACTCTGCAAAAAGAACAAGTTCATTTTCTTGTAAAAGCAAACAAGAACAGCTATTAAATGTTAAAAATTGTTGACTAACAAAATCGTTGGAATTATTTTTGAAATAAGAGCTTTTAAAAATCTTAACAAATATAAATGAGCCGTGCCATGACAAAACCAACATATTGGGCTTGCGACCAGCATGGATCCAGAACAGCCTACGCATCCACGCAGTCTGACCAGGATCCATGCTGTTCACTATCAGTTATTCTACTTGTGATAGGGTTTGTAAGCGAACAGCATGGATCCTGATCAGACTGCGCGAATGCGCAGGCTGGTCTGGATCAATGCTGGTCGCAAACCCACTATGTTGGTTTTGTCATGACAAGGCTCAAATCAATGTCCCTTGGTGTAATGAATCTAAAGTAAACCATTCAAGAACTAACCTCTCTCAATATAACACAGACTGGTATCATCAAAGAGCACATGTAAGCTGAATAGTGGAACCCTTCCTCATCTACATACTCCTTTAACTGAAAACAAGCAATAAATTATTCTATAACTGCTTTTGCAATATTTTAATTATTTCGTCCGCAAGACTAGTATCAACAGCAAACACACTTCATTGAACAAAATAACATGCCTAACTGACTTCTACAGGAATGAGTAAGATTACCATATCCACCTATCATTTTGGCAAATTTAGTAGAAACATATTCAGGAAGACTTGCGAAGATTCTAGGAAAGACTTACTGCAAACTGGTTGATGGGGGTAAATCCTCAATTCTAACAAGAATATACTGTGTTGTTAACACGCACCTGTTAAAAATTCTATGTTAAAAAGGGGCATAACTCCAAAAATATAGCTTTCAGAAAAATGCCCCTTATCCAGCTACTGTGCTTTGTCAAGGATTTCAAGTTTCATATTGATATATCTAAAATTGTTTGTGTAATGAGCTACATTAAAGTTTTTGCAGGACAACAACAACAGTGACACTGCAGCAGTCATAATAACTGTAATTTTTCTTCAAAACAGACATGCTAATAATAATAAGTAAAATGCCTTGAAGTACAACCCTGACTTTTTCCAAGTTGCTGTTAATTTCTTAACATTCATTAAGTTATTAAAAACCTGCATATGTAAACCATTTACACAGATTGTCTCAAGCCAAATTGTCAAAGAATCAAGTGTGTTGTTTGTTAAGCTAGTGAATGCATAAGTTGTAAAACTTTTTTTCCCACTGACCTGTGTTCTAGTCAAGTAAAATGTGTACATGTATAGTATATAATCTACATTTTCTCAATTATAAATCCTGTAATTCAAAAAACTAGATCACATAATCAATGATTTGCACTTAAAACTATACTTGTAAGGGATTCCATGCAATTACACTTTCAAAATAAGTACAATGTAATATCCTTGATATTAAAGAAATGCCCACCTTTTTACAGGAACCTTAAAACTTATGAATAAACACTTTATCACTAAGTGTTAGGTTATCTTAATATTTACTCACTTTTCTAAGATATTTCTCTGAACAAAAATTCTGAAGAATTCCAAGACAGACAAAACATTGTGGTATTTGAGGGTCTCTTTCACCCCATACAATAAACTCCTTCAAACTCGCTTTATTTTCATCTTGATTCTTATCTGAACATGTTTCCACATATGTCACACTCTCAGTGTGTGTGTTTTCACAATCAGATTTGTTCGTTTGATCAGATTCAGCGACTATCTCTTTATGTCCAGACCCTGCACCATTGCCAATGATCTGCTTACTCTCCAAGACTATGTTATTATCAGTCAATTTATCATCAGCTGCATTAGCTCCTACAGCAGTCTTTGCTTCATGATTACTTTCAACTATTGCAGACTCTTCATACTCTATTGACATATTTTCTTCCTCTTCTTTCTTTTCTGTATAGTTTTTGACATAGCTTTCCATTTCCTAAAATAAATTAAAGGCATTCAACTAAACTGCATCAAAATAAAAAGTTCAAAATATCTGGGATTTTTAAAGTATGACTTTGATGCTTTCACTGCCAGGCACAGATTACCTATGTGACAATGTAAACGGTCCTACCTAGCAAAGCTAAGCTAAATGAAATATTATTTTCTTAAAGTCAAAAGTACAATCTATTTCTCTCATATGTTTCCCTTAATTTATCATTTGATTTGCAATCCTAAATAAATTTAACCATGATTTGTTTTGACTAAGTTTTCTGGACTGTTGGAAAGTAAATTTTAGACAAGAAGCGCCGCAATGCGACAAAAACCAGGTTTTCAATGACCAAGTTTTGATGTGACAGCAATCAATAGGTCAAAGTGCACTGAAGTTATTGAGTAGATACTGAATATTCTATTGTAAGCAAATTACCTTGACCTTGCTCCCAGATATCTAAGTGGTAATCCAAAGCTGCCACTCAGCAAGTTCGGTGAAAAAAGGTCAAAGCCAACTCAAGTTATAACATGAAAAATAAATGCATTAACCTTGACACAGACACCTGGGTAGCAATCCCAAACTGCCTCTTTGATATAAGCTACGCATTCATCAAGTTTTGGCGTCAATAGGCCAAAGCAAACTCAAGTTTTTGAGCAGAAACTGAATTTCTATTTTTAGTAACAGTGACCTTGACCTAGATCACAGACACCTGGGTAGCAATCCCAAGCTGCCTCTTGATATAAGCTATCCATACACCAAGTTTGGAGTCAATACGCCAAAGCAAACTCAAGTTATTGAGCGGAAAACTGAAATTTCTATTTTTAGTAACAGTGACCTTGACCTAGATCACAGACACCTGGGTAGCAATCCCAAGCTGCTTCTTTATATAAGCTATCCATACACCAAGTTTGGTGTTAATAGGCCCAAGCAAACTCAAGTTATTGAGGCGGAAACTGAATTTCTATTTTTTGTAACAGTGACCTTGACCTTGATCACAGACACCTGGGTAGCAATCCAAAGCTGCCTCTTGATATAAGCTATCCATACACCAAGTTTTTGGAGTCAATACGCCAAAGCAAACTCAAGTTATTGAGCAGAAACTGAATTTCTATTTTTAGTAACAGTGACCTTGACCTAGATCACAGACACCTGGGTAGCAATCCCAAAAGCTGCTTCTTGATATAAGCTATCCATACACCAAGTTTGGTGTCAATAGGCCAAAAGCAAACTCAAGTTATTGAGCAGAAACTGAATTTCTATTTTTAGTAACAGTGACCTTGACCTAGATCACAGACACCTGGGTAGCAATCCCAAGCTGCCTCTTGATATAAGCTATCCATATACCAAGTTTGGTGTCAATAGTCCAAAGCAAACTCAAGTTATTGAGCAGAAACTGAATTTCTATTTTTAGTAACAGTGACCTTTACCTAGATCACTGACACCTGGGTAGCAATCCCAAGCTGCCTCTTGATATTACCTATCCATACACCAAGTTTGGTGTCAATAGGCCAAAGCAAACTCAAGTTATTGAGCGGAAAACTGAATTTCTATTTTTTTAGTAACAGTGACCTTGACCTTGATCACAGACACCTGGGTAGCAATCCCAAGCTGCCTCTTTGATAAAAGCTATCCATACACCAAGTTTGGTGTGAATAGGCCAAAGCAAACTCAAGTTTTTGAGCGGAAACTGAATTTCTATTTTTAGTAACAGTGACCTTGACCTTGATCACAGACACCTGGGTAGCAATCCCAAGCTGCCTCTTGATATAAGCTACCTACACACCAAGTTTGGTGTCAATAGGCCAAAGCAAACTAAAGTTATTGAGCGGAAACCAAAAGTTGACGCCCGCCTGCCCGCCGACTTCGGCATTACAATAACCCGGTTTTCGTTGAAAACCTGGTTAATTAAGTAAACTGAGTGGTAAAATAGCAATATAAAAAAGCTTACATAAGTAAAAACAACCCAAGCAAAAAAAGAAGTGAAACAACCTTTGAATCTCCCTTGTAGAAGTACATGTCTTTTAAACCAAGATATCTTAGAGTACATCTAGCACAGCAGCCACAAGCTGACAACTCTGATGCAATGTCTTTTATCATTGCCAGATCAGACGTGAACAATGGCAGCGCCATTCTGAAACACTGAAATGCATACATAATTTAAGACAGATAAATATGTACAAATAATGCTATAAAAAAATTTGCAACAATAAGGCCTTAAAAAAAATTAACATATGTAATTGAAAGTATATTGGCTATATGTATGCTCATGCTATTTTATGCCAAATAAAGATTATGTTATGTCATGTTAAAAAAAAATTGTTTGTTTCTGATGTCCCTATCTCCCTATTTTTTGGCCACCGACCCTAAACTTTTTGAGGGAAAACAGGCCACATTTTTTGTTTGACGCTGCATAATAAACTTTGTGCTGCAAATTCATATTTCCGTCGCATACACTTGATAAAAAATATTTCAAAAAAAAAAAATGCCTACCTACCTACCCTATTTTTTAAAACCATGTCACTGGAAACAAACATTTTTTTTGTTAGGCCTACGTAAAATAATAAATCCCCTATGTATAATCAAAAATATGAGAAAAAATAAAATCCCAGATTAGGTCATTTCCATGAAAATGTGACATTCTTTTGCCATGAATCTTCACACTGTGCCTATTTCAGTCAGTGCATTGACCATTGTTCATTTAGGGCCTGCTCGCAAAGCGAGCTTTACGGTAACGTGAGTACCTGCTAGATAGTGATGGTTTTGAAAACTTTGTCCGAGGTACTGAACTGACACATCGCAACTTTTTGAATTACAAGATTAGACTGGAGCCCTACGCACTTATGGGAACCATCATAGGACAGTGAACCATAATAAACGGAAGCAGTGTATAAAATACCAAATGACAATTTTAGAACAGAAAATGTAAAATGAAAATGAACGATTATTTTATACTATTTCACGAAAAAAGTAAATCGAGCTCGCTTTGAGGCTTTGCCTTTTTCATATTAATTTTTACTGAAGCTTTGCATTTCAAAGAAATACTCACCCCTGAAACATCAAAAGTGTGGCATGGGGCCATTCTGAAGTGTCAGTTTCATAAGGGGAAGTCAATGGCCGTGACTGCAAAACGGGCCCGGACTTTGCAGGGATTTTTTTTGCCTTATTTTATAGCCGATATTCGGTCATATTCCCAATCGAAAATAGTATATTATTTTCCCAATCCACAGGAAAAAATTCCCAATTGAAAGTTACAAAATAAAAATATTTAATAACAAATTCTAAAATCTTAGAAAATAAGGACTTCTTCACTGTTATGGTGTTTAATAGTTTGAAGATGCCTTCCTAGACAGTTATTCTTTGCATTCATTTAATCACTGCAAAATTTAAGTCATGCAATTTTTCCCAAATTTTAACAAAACATCGCTGAAATTCCAATTTCCATGGGTATGGGTCATGTTCCCAAAATCCTGGAAAAAAAACCTGCTTTGGCTTGCCCGGTTATAGACATTATAACATATGTTATAATATTTAAAAGAAAATCAAATTAAAAACAAGTAAAGAACATATAGAATTGTATACCTATCAATGAAATTTACAGTGTCAGTTTAAGTCAGGGTATTTTGTTAACTAATAATCGCAACTTTTCAAATTAATAATATGGGGAAGTCAAAGGCAAGGTCCGCGAAACGGGCCCGGGCTTTGGCTTGCCCGGCTATAGACTACATGTGTATATTTAAAAGAAAATCAAATTAACTTTTTTTTTTAACCAACTTCCCCGTTCATAGGCTTTGCCTTATTTCATATTAAATCGTTGAGTATTCCAAGTGAAACGGAAAGGCTACATGTTCAAATATCAAGTGATAAATTTAAAACGGAAAAATGAACCATTTTTTTATCCAACTTCCCTGTTCATAGGCTTTGCCTTATTTCATATTATTTTCTTAAACAGCTTCAATTGTGTCAGTATTGAGATATATCAGAGATATACTTTACAACGGTGAAGCTGTTGCATTCATATGTCGCGAAAATATATTACACTTAAGTTTATGAGCTTGAAAAGATTTAATTTATATGTGACAATGACGCATTAACTATGCTTGATATGGAGATATATTAGAAAAGTAAAAATATTACAAAATTTACATTATTCAAAAACATTTACCTCTCAAATATTTATTGTGTTCGTTCTATTTCTCGAATTAGAGTTATCCCCCTTCTGACAAACGGTGTTGATGTAAGAATCGCCCCGTCTAAATGTTCTTTTAGCAATATTCTGCAGCTGATTCTTCAGATCCTTCTGTCTCTTGACATGACAGGTAATGATTGTTTACATTTCCTTTTGCCAGTTATCAGTTTACTTACTTTTTGTCTGTTCAGAAATATTTGATATTTGTTAAACATTTTGGCTCTCGATAATTTAATTTTATCACAAAGCAACATTTTATTTTGAGGACAATCTCAACTATTGCAGGAACAGGCCTTGCATCCTGTTTGGTCTGACGGTCAGTCGGTCACTAGTCCAATTAGACTTGTCAAAGAGACATCAAGATAATTTTCTTTTTCCAAAGGGTTTGACAGTATAAAAAAAAGTTAGTAAAATGGGACAAACCGTTCACGCCAAATTAACCAGGCTAGACGGTCACATGGCATAATATGCGGTGTTGTACTGCATGTTTTTTAGTGCCAAAAGTTGAAAACAAATTAATTCATCTCTGAATCAGTAGTGCGGGGACAGACAGTATTTATCACTTTATTGACAGTCTACTGTAGATGAAATGACAATCTTTATATTAAGGCTGTGTGACTTTTCAAAACATTAAAATCTATTCCATATATAAATTCAAAAGCAGAACCAAAGTGGAATCGAATATTTAAATGAATGCTCTAATGAATTCATATAATAAATTGACAGGTCAATAAAGTCAGACTATAACAGTTAGATTTTACAGATTTTGAAATCAACTGATTTGTTTTGAGTATTTATTAACTCTTTAGCAATAAATGGGTGAACTACATGTAATTCCAATATTTAACTAAAACCCCTGTCACACTTGGGCTGCGTTCAAAGAAAATTTAGAACACTAAGGTGAGCGCAGTAAGAACGCAAGCATCGCAGTGGCATCGCATAGAATGCCGACCTACGGCGCGCATTTTGAGCATCCTCAAAACAAACGCCGTCACTTGCATTTTGATAAGAGCGCAGAAGGATTGCAGTAAGGACCCTGTTGCAACTCTGTAGTATCTCCTACAAAGCTACAGGAGCGCTGTGAAAGCGCACAAGGGTTGCTTGTACGAAGATTGTGCAGTGTCTCTACTGCACTTTTACTGCGTGTGTATGGCGCTTTTACTGAGCTTTACGATTTCAGTGCAATGTAAGCACAGTGGAAGCACAAAGAACGCAGTAGAAGCGCAATCCAAACGCAGACAATCTCCAATAAGAATGTGCTATGAAAGCATTACAACACCATAGAAGCTCCGTAGCAACATTATGATCGCTGTGAAGACGCCTTGAAGTCTCTATGTCATAAAAAAAATCACATTTTTCTTACAATCTCGCAGCGCTTTGCTTACTTTAACAACACCATGACAGTCTAGTGTGACAGGGCCTTAAATCAGTGGACAAAGTATACCTTCTATTCATGAATGCATTAAACTTTATAACATTAACTTTTACTTGTCAGAAATGTGTTTATTCTTCACAATAGTGTAGAATATAAAAAATTCTTTCTCAACATGTAAAATGGTACTTGAAAAGTAATCAAAATTTAATCAATAATTACCCTGTTTTTTGATCGTTTATCATTCAGTTACAATTAAAGTATTTGAAATTTGACTCAATTACTAAGTATTTCCAATTATTTGACATTAGATAACTATTTGTTAATTACTTAATTCAATTACCCAGTCCATGGACAGTAAACAGTAAAAACTCTGCTTTTATTCTCCCCGCACTTTAGGGGACTCTGGTCACAACTGACTGCTTTGTATGATACTTGCATTTTTGCAAAAGTGACAAGTAGGACTAGCCACATTGAATAAGAAACTGTGCCTTTACTTTTTGTAAAGTGTTGCATGGTACCAGTAATAAGTTATGGACTTGATGAGCTGTCGCAAATTACTTGAACAATATTGACTTGCAAATCCTTGGGATCATTATTGTTAATGCAAGCATAAACGATTATTAGATATGAATTCCTGAAAAAACATTTTCAGGTAAATGAATTATTTTTTCTCGTTTTGTTCCATTTCACAAAGTACCAATACCTGTGTGGGTATTGGTAATTTGCATAACGGAACGAAACAAGGCGAATTTAATTTCACTATTAACATGCTGCCTGAGATGCATCATTTGACAGCTTATGTTTAGTACTGTTTACAAGACTTTATATATATCTGGACCAGTAAATAATATAAGGTTGCTCTCTGGTTCATATACATGGACAAAATAATTAATGTGATCGTAAACAGATGTATTCAGTGTTATGCTTTTAACTACAAATAAAAGATAGTGTTTTATTCCTTTTCACCAATATATCTTACTCTTTAAATTTTTGTTTTGTTCTGTTTCGCAAAATACCAGTGCCCATGTGGGTAATGGTACTTTGCGTAACGTAACGGAACAAGACTAAAATTTAATGTTTTGTGTATTTTGAGTTTCATTGGACATTATACATCATACGACTATGATTATACAGAGTTTATATTGTTTACTATTACGATTATATCGAGTTTCCAAATTTAAACTTGAATTCTTAATTTCCCCTGTAAAGTGCCCCTAGTTCTGTTCCGTTTCGCAAAGTACTAATAACCAATAGAATGTATTTTATCTAAAAAAAAATGCTAAGCACATCCTTTCAAAAGGAAGTTAATACATGTTAAAATAGAAAACATAATTGTGCAGAGTAAATGAGTCAATAGCATATATGAGATGTTTACAAAAAATACTTCTAATTTTAGTTTTTGATGCATGAATTTATAAATTATTTAATGTGAGCAAATAAATGAAGTTTTTGATAATTAAGATATATGAGCTTATGAAGTATAGGTTAACTGTGTTATAAGATATTAGTAATTTTATATTTGCAGGAAGCATCAGTAGTGGCAACAATATAGAACATGAGGAACATTAAGAATGGGTTTAGAGGCTATGATCTGGAGTCACTATGGAAAAGCTGTTTTGTTGCTTCTTGTAATAGTTGTTATTTTACAAGCTTATCATATGTCGAAACTTATGAAATATCATGACAGGAAAAAGGCTGAGTTTAATGCTGTGGATAATTTTCATGAGGAAAAGAAAAGTGATAAAAAAGTAGAGAAGAATTTAAGAGCAGCTCACAGCATTAAACAAAATAATTTGCTGAAGTACATTGAAAAACTGGAAAATCCTCATGTGATGGACTCAAGTGGAACGTATATGATAATTCCTGATATTTTATCAACTGTGACTGAAGAAAGTAATGAGACTTTGTCTATATGTACACAGACAACTGCTAATAATTTACATTATTTGAAAGATGTGACAGAAACTTGGCATGGGCCAGTGTCAGTGACAGTTTTTACACACAGTTATGATGCAGTATTCGCGCTGTACTCTGTTGTATATATGCACAATTGTTTGGAGAAAGTACAAACTATGGTGAGATTTCACATAGCATTTCCTATATCAAACCCTCCTGTTAATTTAAAAACAATCACAAATATGGAAATGCACTGTGATAACTTTGAAAGTTTTACTTACGGGAATAAAAATAACTACGAGAATGAGATTCCATATCCACATAATGTATTACGTAACATCGCTGTGACTTATTCAATCACTCCATATATATTAATAATAGACATAGATATGATTCCATCCAAAGATTTAAATGCTCATTTCTCCCAGTTTTCAAACCGGAAGCAAAGTTCAGTAACAAAAGAAGATAAAAATATGGAGGAAAAGTTAGTGTATGTTGTACCAGCATTTGAATCAAAGTCTAGCAGTAGAGTATATGATAAACAGTTTCTTATAAACGAATGGGACTTGCAAAATGTGCGTTCATTTTATCAGAATGTTTGTTGGAAGTGTCAGAAAGTGACAGACTATGACAGATGGCGGGGGTTACCTAGCTTGCCTTTCTTTGATGTCGGATATGTATTGGAATGGGAGGATCCGTGGGAACCATTCTATATTGCCAGGAAGCAGAATTTACCGTTGTATGATGGGAGATTTAAACAGTATGGATTTAACAGAATCAGTCAGGTATTCTTTTATCAATTAGTATACAAAATATCATCTGTTCAGGGAGGATATCTTTACAGACTTCAAAGGCCATTAGTTTAGTTTATACTAATTTATTTTTGTTTCTTTGTGTTGGAAGCTATAAGCTTATTGAAACACTCTCGAATCCGTTCTTTGAACCAACCTGGTCCAGTACTAAGCAATGAGTGTAAAGTTTTTTGGTTACAGATACAACGGCTTGCCCCCGACGGGATTTGGACCCATACAGCTAGCGATCATTAGATTACTAATCTGACATGTCTATGTTATTAAATATACATAAGTGTTATGGGTAAACAGATTAAAAATTTCCAGGAACAAACTATTTCGCTGATAAATTAAGAATGCATGAAATCATTGCCAAACCTACTAAAAAAGTAGGTTTGGCAATGATTTCATGCATTCTTAATTTGCTCTCAATAAGGTACACAGACAAAGTTCTGTCTTTTTAGATATTCTGTAATTATTTTAATCACAATATAAACAATGGTTTTACAATCCACAGACAGCAGATATCTAGCTTTATACACTTTAAATGAAATAAGCTCTTTATTTTGACAGATTCATGAAGAGAATGATTACATTTCAGATTTGTGAGCTCCATATAGCTGGGTACCAGTTTGCTGTTTTAAATAATGCATTTTTAGTGCACAGAGGATTTAAGGAACCAGGAAAATTTCACTCCAAGAAAGATGAAGAGAATGACAAGAATAGGGAATTATTCAGACTTTTTAAGGAAGAATTAAAGGAACGTTATCCTTCATTAAATAGGCAGTGTTGAACAGTAAAAAGTATTTTGTAAAAGAAAAATGCTGTGATTAAGAATTACCTATAAGCATTGTGCATGTATGGGACTCATTAAGCCAGTAAATAGGATGTAGGATTACTACACATTGGCAAAAGGAGTCAATGCAAGTGATTACTTCACTACATATTGGCTAAGGAAGTGCAACTACATTATAACATTAATACATAATGGCTAAGGGAGTGAGGCCACATGATTAATACTTTACTACATATTGGCTAAGGGAGTGAGGCCACATGATTAATACTTTACTACATATTGGCTAAGGGAGTGAGGCCATATGATTAATACTTTACTACATATTGGCTAAGGGAGTGAGGCCACATTATAACATTGATACATATTGGCTAAGGAAGTGAGGCCATACGATTAATACTTCACTACATATTGGCGAAGGGAGTGAGGCCACATGATTAATACTTCACTACATATTGGCTAAGGGAGTGAGGCCACATTATAACATTGATACATATTGGCTAAGGGAGTGAGGCCATACGATTTATACTTTACTACATATCGGCTAAGGAAGTGAGGCTACATGATTAATACTTTGCTACATATTGGCTAAGGAAATGGGGTCACATGATTAATACTTTACTACATATTGGCTAAGGGAGTGAGGCCATATGATTAATATTTCTCTACATATTGGCTAAGGGAGTGTGGCCACATGATTAATACTTTACTACATATTGGCTAAGGGAGTGAGTACTTTACTAGATATTGGCTAAGAGAGTGAGGCCATATGATTAATACTTTACTACATATTGGCTAAGGAAGTGAGGCCACATGATGAATACTTTACTACATATTGGCTAAGGGAGTGAGGCCACATGATTAATAATTTACTACATATTTGCTAAGGGAGTGAGGCCTCATGATTAATAATTTACTACATATTGGCTAAGGGAGTGAGGCCTCATGATTAATAATTTACTACATATTGGCTAAGGGAGTGAGGCCACATGATTTTTTTTCACTATATATCGGTTAAGGGAGTAACTAAAACTTAATTCCTGAAGGTATAAACATGTGTTAAAATTTAATTTCGTAGTAGTTAGGTGAAGGCTAGTTGGTTGTAAAAATATTAAAGTAGGGAAATATTGTGATTCTTTAGTTATTTCTGAGTTTAGTTAGTACAATTTTAACATATTTAAGTGTGATTGCGAAACAAGCTCTTCCATATTTAACTGATCACATCATAATTTGCTATGAGGTCAGGGGGTTGTGATATATTTTGTACACTAAAATATTACAGAGGGTAAATAAGATTTTTTTTACAATTCTTTTTGCGGCCATGTATTTTGGTTTGGGATTTTTACTACTAGATATGTGTGGATCAAAATTGGATACACATTTGTGCAGTAAAATGTAAATGTCAACATGTCAGCTTGTTGTTATTTAATTATCTGTTAACAGATAATTGAAGGTTTGGGGAAACATTATGGATAATCACAAAGTCTGAAAGAGGCGAGAGACATGCATCATACATGTCATATGTGGAGGATTAGGCATTTGATTTTTTTTTTTAAATCTAATCGATAGTAAAAAGTTATTTTGGAAATACATGTACCTTAATTACTAAGAAAGAAATTCAGAAAAACACTACTTAATCTGGTACTAATTTAACCATTTTGAAGTTCACTATAGCTAAAAAGTCACATCATGGATTCCGCATCCTTTTTAACATGAAACTTATCAAAGAATATCTCTTATTCCACTCTCTAGAACTGAGAATAAATAGTTATTTATACTAGCACTGTGCTGTTTACTCCTTGGTGCTGTCCATATCTCTTCATGACCAGGTATGTTAGTCTAAGAATGAACTCTGTTATGTAATATGACTGGCTGACTGATTCAAAATTTCTGTTTTACTTGTATAATATTAAAATCACATTTTAGTGCTTGAAGCATAGAATTGTCATATAGTAATATTTATGCCTGTACGGGGTTTAGATAATTGTCTAAATGAAGATATTATGATATCTCATGGTTTAAAACAATGTCTGAGTCAATTAGATCTATGTTATACATTAGTGATTAACTGATTATATACTATTGTGCCAAACTGTGATAACTATATAAAAGATTATTTATTTACATGTAAAGGCATGGCATATTATTTTAATATTACATTAAAAGATTGAAAGAGCTCTTGCCTTTAAGACTTTTATTAACTGACCCCATCAAATCGGTCTATAATTTCTGATTTCCATTTCTGAATACTGCCATAAATCACTTGAATAAATTTTAAATTTGTCAGCTTTCTACTGGGGTATTTTCCCCACTGAGGGGTTTCCTTAAAGGGTTGAAACATCAGAATTTAAACCATCGTTTATTCCTGCGTGATTGTTAGAGGCGACTAAATTGGTTCAAACTACTGGAGTCTATGCATCTTTAAGCTCCTTGCTTTAAGTTTGTAACGCCCGAATTTGGCCAAAATCATTTCCTGTTTCAACACCATATAACCTCAATTGTGTTGGTTACAAAACGAGCTGGTATATTAAAAGGGTGTAATTCTGAAAGCTATAGTTTTTGAGTTATGTCCCTTTTGAACTTCTTGGCAAAAGTGGTTATTTTAACAGACAAACCAACACTGCATGCAGTGTTCTTGTTGGAACTGTTCATTATCAATTTTGGGTAATCAAGATGAAAAGTTTAAGTTGGTCAGTCAACAATATAGACCTTGATCAGAAGGCATGGATCTGCAGTCTGGTTTGGCTCTAAGCTAATGCTAATTTTTTTGGTTTATACAGAATTTATTTTAGTTTGTGTTACTCAGGAAGCTAAAAGCTTATAGACAAATTTTTGAATCCGTTCCTGGAACCAACTAGTACTGAGCAATGAGTGTAAAGGAAACAATGGCTTGTCCCTGGCGGGGTTTGAACTTGTGCAACTATTGACCATTAGATAGCCTGAGACTAGTATAGTCTGACACATTAACCACTTGGCCATGCAGCCACCTGATTATTTTACAAGCAGATTAAGGGTGATCTCTTTGTTTGTTACTGGAGATGACGACTAGCCTATGTCACCAATATTTATGATGTACAGTACATTACAATGTGTATGGAAAAGTTATAATCTTATTGTACTATTTGCTGCTTTACAGTTCTTCATACATGTATTTTGTTATTGAAATCCCTCTCATAATTCAAATTGAAATTAAGGAAAGGTCATGTTATCATTTCATTTGGTTAATATAAAAAAAAAACAATGATCAAACATTTATTTTTCTGAAGAAGACTAAAAATTATGTTTGTTACTGAACAGATTATATTTGGTTTATATGCCAATTTAACACATTTCTGGTCATCTCGGCAGTCAGTCCACCAAGTAGTAATTACAAATTTTTCGCAGCAGTGACAAATGACAAATCCCACATCATCACATGATTTTTAGATCAATGGTGAGAGAGAAAATTGAGCCGCGTCACGACAAAACCAACATAATGGTTTTGCGACCAGCATGGATCCAGACCAGCCTGCGCATCCGCGCAGTCTGATCAGGATCCATGCTGTTCGCTATCAGTTTCTCTACTTGTTATAGAATTGGTAAGCGAACAGCATGGATCCTGATCAGACTGCGCGGATGCGCAGGCTGGTCTGGATCCATGCTGGTCGCAAACGCATAATGTTGGTTTTGTCGTGACATGGCTCAAATGATCATTTGACTCAATGCAAGATCAGTTGTCACAGAAAAGTTTCACCTTGCATGGTCTTGCCATAATCATAATGAAAACTTTCCAGCTTTCACTAGTGAAGAACAACCCTGCCAGTCAACTTGTGCATAAACTAGACACATTAGGCAATTAATATATCTGGCACCAAATTCCACAAACTAGCTCCGGTAAATCCAATGTGACTTTTTGCCTAATCCAGAGTGAAAACTACCAACACCCCCACAAGCTAGATTGATAGCTACCTCACATGAAACAATTGAGGGTCTTTGGTAAGATTCTTACCCACAGCTTTATAGTGTAATAAATGTATATAATTATGATGAATATTAATGAAAATAAACACAAAATGTCATGCTTCCATTTTTTTATATCGCAAAATTCATACCATATAGTTCAACAAATGTTAAACACAAACAATAAGAAATTATTCAATTATTTTGATAAATATTGCTTTAACCCATTACTTCATGAGCATTTTGTGAAAAATGGCTGTTTTCATTGAAAAGTCTCCCGTTACAAGTTCAAATTGCTATAATACTATAAAAACTGCTTCAACACTAATCAAACTTGGCACAAATGTTGACTGGACCATTGCCCTTGCAACAACATGCTCAGGCTTAAATTTTCTGTTACCATGGCAACGAGGGGACATCTCAAAATTGCCAAAAATCACTATTTTGCGTTGATTTTTTCCATCATAATTGATTTCAAAGGGCTGCAACTTCTCAATGGATTGAAATAGAGTCAAATGCTTTTCAGCGTTGGTTACACGTTACCTTATGATCTCTCTGAGGTCATTTATAGCCTCTCACAAGTCCAAAATTTTCTTGGCGATGAGGGGGACTCCGCCCCCCTTCAAACCCCCCAAACAGAAGGGGGCACATCCCCCTTCTGGCAACCCCCTGATGTATCTTTTGGTTGGGGGAACGCGCCGAAAAAGTGGTCACTTTTTTTAACAACATTTCTCAAACAAAAACAAGTGTTGGGGGCCTAAATAAGGCATTTTTTCACCATTTGAGACAACAAAAAGGGTGGGGGGGGGGGTGAAAAAGGCGTTAAAAGGCGTGTATATGAAGTAATGGGTTAAAAGATGGTTTATAAAATACATGTACATACATCTATCTATGACAATGAATTTTGTGGTGTAATTTTAAGGAAATCCAGCTCCCCATATTAAAAAAAAAGTTAAAATGAAATTATACAGTATTCCATTATGTAAACGTTGTCTTTTTGGTTTTGCAAGGATTTAAGTTAAAATGTACTTAATAGAAGAACTTTTATTCAATTCATGTTTCAAAGTGGTAAATTTCGCAATAGATGCTCTTAAGCCTTTTACAGTATGAATTATTTCAATTCCATAATATTTTGTCTACTGTTTTGACGAACAACAGAATAATAATTATTACAAAATTTTCTTTGAATTTAAAGGAAATGAAAATGTCTTATTTCCATGTAATGAAAAGGAATTACATGTACACATGGAACAAAATTCTGTTCGATAAATTTTGTAGATAAAAAAGCAACAGTAAGTTTCCATATTAAAAAGAGCAAATTTACAACAAATTACGAAAGCTATGCCTAATTGTGATAAAACAAACAAAAGTAATATTACAGTAAATAAATGTTTTCATGTTATTTAAAATATAGAAAAAAGGTAAAATTGAAATCTATGGCAAAAAAATAAAAAATTTTTTTAAATAAACCAAAAATGAGAAAATTGAGAAAAGCCTTTTAAGCCTCTATCACATAAGCCGCATAAAAAAATTTGGGTCCTACGCTTTGTATAGAAATCTGTGCTATAGAAAGTCACAGGCAATTTGGCAGTCTATCTAGAGGGATTAGTAGATCTGTCATGTGACAGCATTTGATTACGGTCGACAGTAGCTGCACGATGCTCGTGCAGCAACCCTGCAGTCCTCGCAAGACAAACGCAAAACATTTTTATTTGAGACCTTCTAGAAATCGTCTTCTGTACTATTATCATACGACAGACTCGAGACGTCCAAAATCTGTCCAAAAAATCGCAAAAATAATGTGCATGTTGAGAAATCAGTCTGTGACATTGCGGTTACCTTGCGACCTTAACAATTTGAACGACTGTCTTGCGACTTCCACATGAAACACAGCAATTTTAGTGAAATGTGTTTGAGCGACTGCCGTAAGGCTGAAGTGATAGAGGCTTTAATCAATTCAAAAAGACATATTTTTTTTAATAATGATCATCCAACTGTTATGTTGCAATTTAAAAATATCAATTTTTAGAAAATCTATCTTACTTTCTTTGAGTTCATATCTTTCATTTTACAGTTCATCCCCTTTTCTCACGAAAAAAAGTAACAAAAATATAAAATAAACAAGAGGGCCATGATGGCCCTAGCTCGCTCACCTGACTTATCAAACTCATCCAAACAATTACCTAGACAAGCATTCTGACCAAGTCTCATGACAGGTGAGTCAAAAATGTGACCACTACAGTGTTAACAAGGATTATCCATATTTGAGCAGTGCGACCTAGTTTTTTACCCAGGTGACACATATTCAAACTTGACCTAGAAATCATCAAAACAAACTTTCAGACCAATTTCCAGGATACTTGGATCAAAACAGTAGCAACTAGAGTGTTAACAAGATTTTTCTATTTTTAGCTCCGGTGACTTAGTTTCACATGCGATTTCGAACTCATCCAAGCAATTACCTAGACAAGCATCCTGACCAAGTTTGATGATAATTGAGTCGAAAATGTGACCACTAGAATGTTAACAAGGTTTTTCCATATTTGGGCGGTGTGACCTAGTTTTTCATCCAAGATGACCCATGTTCGATCTTGACTTAGAAATCATCAAAACAAACTTTCAGACCAATTAACAGAATATTTGGATCACAACAGTAGCCACTAGAGTGTTAACAAGATTTTTCTATTTTTAGCTCCTGTGACCTAGTTTTTCATCCGAGATGTCCCATGTTCGATTTATTCCCAGCAATGACCTAGACAAGTTTCCTGACCAAGTTTGATGACAATTGAGTCAAAATTGTGACCACTAGAGTGTTAACAAGGTTTTTCTATTTTTAGCTCCTGTGACCTAGTTTTTCATCCGAGATGACCCATGTTCGAACTCATCCGAGCTATCACCTAGACAAGCATCTTGATCAAGTTTGATGATGATTGATGCAAAAATGTGACCGCTAGAGTGTTAACAAGGTTTTTCTATTTTTAGCTCCGGTGACCTACTTTTTCATCCGAGATGACCCATGTTCAAACTCATCCGAGCTATCACCTAGACAAACATCCTGACCAAGTTTGATGATGATTGAGGCAAAATTGTGACCTCTAGAGTGTTAACATGGTTTTTCTATTTTTAGCTCCGGTGACCTAGTTTTTCATCCGAGATGACCCATGTTCGAACTCATCCGAGCTTTCACCTAGACAAGCATCTTGACCAAGTTTGATGATGACTGATGCAAAAATGTGACCGCTAGAGTGTTAACAAGGTTTTTCTATTTTTAGCTCCGGTGACCTACTTTTTCATCCGAGATGACCCATGTTCGAACTCATTCGAGCTATCAACTAGATAAGCATCCTGACCAAGTTTGATGATGATTGATGCAAAAATGTGACCGCTAGAGTGTTAACAAGGTTTTTCTATTTTTAGCTCCGGTGACCTACTTTTTCATCCGAGATGACCCATGTTCGAACTCATCCGAGCTATCACCTAGACAAACATCCTGACCAAGTTTGATGATGATTGAGGCAAAAATGTGACCGCTAGAGTGTTAACAACTAAATGTGAACGGACGGACGACGGACAATCATCGATCCTAAAAGCTCACCCTGAGCATGCTCAGGTGAGCTAAAAAATTAAATATTATATTGGTCTTAAGAAGAATGCATTTCTTATCAACTACTACCACTTTATACTAATGTAGCTTGAAATTTGAATTACATGCACTTTTTTAAAATACAAGTTTCCACTTTATTTTTAAAATCTATATTATGTTCATGTACACTTTTCTAACACTCAATAGTACTTTTTGAACTAGATATACATTTTTACATTTTCAGCACAATTCACCAGCACATCTTTAACAAAAATAAGAAACATATCAGATAAAAACATCAAGTAACATGTAATATATAATATATACACTCTAAAAAAATATTTCCAGATACACTATTTTGCTAAGAAATTTGTTTTAAAAAAAGAAGAAACATATTAAAACTAATCACAGTTGTTTTAAAACGTCACAAACACAAACATTGCACTTTCATGACATACCTCTGGTTTAATTAATAAATAAATTTTATAAAATATATCAAATATAAAAAAATCATTTTTCATCTTGGAACTTTTTAACAAGTTCTTTAACCCAGCCTTTCATTATAACTAAATTATCAACATCCATACTAAGAAGATCAAGCCTTCCGGTTGAAAATGCCGCTTTCATTCTCCCTCCGCCCCTAGAGCTTGACCCTGACCTACTTCTGAATGAGCAATCATCAAAAGTTTCCAGACCCGATTTTGTCGGAAATTTATTGACTATATACTCTTGTAGTGCAGATCCAGTGAGTTGCCTTTCCTCGCTAACTGCGCGGCTAGAAGAGCAGCTCTGGGTACGACTTGTTGCCGTACTCATACTGCGGCTGGTACTTGAACTTTTGTTACGATATTCGCTATGCGCTGTTAAACTCTCCATTCGCTGTTTGATTGTAGCACTCGGTTCCTTCTGACGAACCTTTACTGGTGGTGGCATTTTTTGTTTATTCTTTTCTTCCAATTGACTAATGTAACATTTAATATTTACAGTAGGAGTAGGTGGTAAAGGGTTTGTTTTTTTCTGTGTAACAGCCGGCGGAGAATCTATGTCATCACAATACACAGCAGAATCTCTAAATGCTTCATCGTTATTAAAAACTTCAGAAAATCTCCGTTCATAGAAGGTGCCTGTACCTGAAGATTCTTTTGAATCTTTATCTTGACCTGGTGACTCCCTACCCTCATGTGATTCCCCACGACGAGGTGAATCTTCTGTTGAACTAGAATCATTATCTGCACTTTGAATAGAAAATGCTGAATCAGACTGGGCCACATTTTTCAAGTTTGCTACAGGATGATAAAGTTTGGATTCAGACTGAGACTGCTGTTTTGATTTGGCAGACTGAATTTGGTTTAACTTAAAACCAGTCAAACTTGCTGATGAAAATCTCCCATAATGCAATTGTTTACCTTCCTGTTTAGATTCAGTTGTTTCTGCATCCTGAGGTAAAGAAAAGGTCGCATAATCATCTAGATCGGTGTTTGCCATTCTCGAGCCAATAGCTTCACTACCTAGTTCTGATTCTTTAAGAAGGGATGGTAGATTTAGTTTCCCTGATCTATGTTGCCCTGGCTTGATTCGTAAACTGAGATTATTGTTTATCTTGTTTGGATGATCTTCAGGAGTAAATCTAGGTGAAGTTTCATTCAGTTTTGATATCTGCGATTGTGATATCACAGACTTCTTTCCAGTGAGCTTTGATGTAATGCTACTTATTTTATTCTTTATTGAATCAACTAAACCTTCTTCTTGTTCTTCTTTTTCTTTAAAGTCACTAGTGCTTTCATATGAAGATGCAGATCCTGTGGATAAGACTGAGTTTCGATTGTAATTTTTGTTTTCATTCTTTTTCTCGAAGTTTGGTATATTGGTTGGAAATTTACTATTAGAGGAACTTAGACTTCCACTTGATGAGGTTGATCGCTTCAAATAATGCTCCATCTCAGCAATGAGCTTTTCACTTTCTTTCATGCCATCACCTAGAATATCAGCAGATGCTGGTCGGTCTTCATGATGCTGCCTCTTTAACTTCGGAGAATAGTCTGACCCTGGTGATGAGAACGATCTAGAAACTTGTGCCCTTTCTCTTGGGAAGAATTTTTCTGATAAACCATTATCATCAAAAACCCCATCTTTCAATATATCTGGACTGCTGCATGTTTCACTGCTTGTGTTTGTTGCTGATAAAGAAATTGAGCTTTCGTTCATTCTAAAATCTGTTTCTTGACCAGAACTATGATTGCTGTAACTACTTGATGAAGTATTAATGGGTGTACTGTGTGAAGCTACAGCTGTCCGATGCTGAGGTGTTTTCATCATCTCTGCATCACTATATTTGGACAGTTGGGTTTGGTCCATTACACCTCTAGGTGGTGTGCAAAATTTATACTTTCTGCCGATTTCTTCACTTGCCAGACCCGAAACTGGCAAAGAGTTTCTGTTTGCATATACAATCCAGTCTAAACTATTGTTTGAGGCCATAGTGTCTTCTCCGTTAAAAGACTGGGTTCTTAAATGTCGTGGATTGTTATTATCTAAACTAAGTCTATCAATTTTTCTGTTTGTTTGTTTACTTGGTGACCTTTCAACTTTAGGAGATTTATTTCTCATTGCATCTAAAGTCAATTTTGTTTCTGTATAAGACCTCTGTTTGTTCCGTACCCATGGATCATCTTTTAAATGTGACAAATCTGACATAGATCCTTTGATGAACCTTTCTTGACCCCATTTATTCAACCTTGCTTGTGATTGTAGAACACTGGCGGAACTTTTTAAAGTGGAAGTGAAAGGCTTAGGCTGGGTTAAACTTAAAGGTTTTGGCACTTCTCCAGTTTTGTCACAAAGGTTTTCCTGAGATTTCCTGATATGTGAGAAAGTATCGTTAAAAGCATTAACATGTTTTTGGTCCTTTGTCAAACTCTGTAAATCGTTTTCTTTGTTTTTAGCTGGTGAAGACGAAATTTGATTTATTTTGTCTCTACTGCATGAAAAGTAAGGTTTAATATCAATTCTTTTGGCATGGTGTATGCTGGATCTTGGTAGATGATTCATTGTTGGACTATAGGCCGACCTCTCGGATGACAGTCTTGAAGTGCGAGGAGAACTCGATGGTATAGTGTTTAAAACAGGCATACTTGCATAGCGTGACCTCTTCGGTGAACTGAGATCATCAAGGTAGCTTCCATCAAAATTATGGCTTTCACCATTTGACGTCTTTTCACGGAAATATTGATCTGACTTATTTCCGCCACCATCTATGTCATCAATACTTTTCCTGACTGATGGTCTCATATTGTCTACAAGTTTCTGAATGTCTCCATTCAATTTAACATTTTCTTCTCCTTCATCTTGACTCTGAAGGATTCTGGCACCGTCTACCGAATCGAACCGAATTGGCGAAACTCGAGTCGCCAGTCGAAAACTGTTTGTTCGAAGAGCTGGTCCATCTGACTGAGACAGATTATCCATGGACATGGAATCCACATTGGATTTCTCTTTTAAATATGGCTCAGGTGATGGACTTTTTATAGAAGAGGTCTGGAAACTCCGACTTCGCTGAATAGAGACAGGACGTTTGGCAGCACGATTTGGAGACCAGTTCTCCTGGTTTTCTTCTTGTTTGGAGACTTTTGATCCTCTTGCAAGCCCTGATGGCGTTCTGTAACCATTGTTCTCCTGAAATATGTACAACAACCATGTTTCAATAATTCTTAGTTTTACTAAACTTTTTGACATTTTACATCAAAACTACACTGTTTAAATGCTAGTTATTGAGTGACTTTAAGATCTTACTACTGGAGAAAGACCCTAAGAGCTCCTCTTTACATTATTTAAGACTTATAGCCACCTACTTTATAACATTTTTATGTTTAACCTTTAACCTTTTTGAATTTCATAAAACAATCTGTTTAGATTCCATTTTTGTAAATGTCCATTATCAATATTACTTATATTAAGATGAAATTTTAAAATGTTAGTAGAACCAGCTCGGACTGCGCATATCGTCACCATTGTACAGTCACGGTTAACTCTTACATAATTTATTAGGAGTTAACCTGTTACTACACTAAGATGACAATATGTGCTGGCTACCTGTTGGCAAAGATAGGATCTTCAAGTTCCAGAAAGGTAATACTTATTTATAATCACCAAACCTTTCTTGATCATAAAGTAAATCAGAAGCATTTCCAATGGACCTTTCCGGTTTTTCGTAGCGGAACATTTAGCCACACCTTTTCCATTCATTGCTAGGTCAACTGCTCACAAACAGTATCACAAACATAAGCACATGTTCTTTTGTGCAAACCAGGTCAACCAGTGACTATGTATTATCTCAGTATAGCGATTGGATAACAAATTAGCCAATTTACATAAAACTGTAAACACAGAAAGGTCCATTTTCTGTTAAAGTGTTATTATAACTAACAAAATTAAAACCTGAGAAAATTTGAGATCAACTGAAATGATCACATCACTTATTGTATTCAGAATTCTTACTTGATATTTGTTCTTTGTATACATCAAACTTTCTAAAGGTTGTGGCTTCAAGATAGGTGATTCAGACTGAAAATTCAAAATATAGTATCTGTAAAATCTTTTCCTAAACCATAAAATACAAAATTAGCTTTTTAAACATGTATATGAACAATTTTAAACATGATTATTTGGCATTCCCTTTATAGCTATGATCTAATATTGTCACTGATGGATTATCAGGGAAATCCCATCCTTTAAATTTAAAAAAAACAAAAAAACTTTAAAGAGCCATGCTATAAAGTTTAATCCATTCTAGGACATCTAAAATGACTGCAGCATAGCACACTTTGCTTGGAAATGTTAATAATAAACATCTAGCATTCACTCACAAATGGAACTTTTACAGTTTTTCAATATTTAGTTTTCAACATATTGCAAAACAACTATAATTTATGCTTATCAAATGTAAAATAAGGGCACATAATAAGGTGCAAAATATGAAAATGAAACGATACCTTAGATTTTGCTTGCTGAGCTCTTCTGTTCTTTTGAGGCCGCAATATTTCTGTATAAATTATAATTAAAATTGCTTTCATTCCAGCATGATCAAACTTTTTGAGAGGTGTTAAAAACTTCACCAATTTCATAAACTGTTAATAACATTGTTTTTATTTTCTTCTAGTTATATTTGGAGAGACTTTAAGCAAAAAGTGTTTCAAGTCATTTGAGGTACATGTACTATGTGAAAAGAAACCTCTACAAAATTTTAAACTGTTAGTCTCATAAGCGATTCCCACTTTATCAGAGATTCTGAAAAATGTTGGTACTTTGGTAGGAGTATTTTCCATGTTAAGCAAGTAAAAACTGCAATAAAAGAATATGTAAAACATACCTGATATAAGGGCTGATCCTGATTTTCTCCGTGCTCGTAGACGTTTCTCAAGATAATCTGGTGTACTCACATGACTTTTTCCGGAATCAGCCGTACCGGCCTGAACCAGTTCTGAAAGTTCCAATAAAAATTAGTTCTTGTTATTCCTTAGGGAATGGGCTATCTGCATAGTCATATTTTAATGTAAATTGTAAAAACAAAATTGTTATTTTGACTTTTTTGCGGAAATTGAAAAAAAAATCATCAACATTAAAATTATATTATTTCCTTAATTTTATGTTCAATTCCCAAAGAATGTCTCTGTAATTTAACACACATGAATATTGCACTGTTTCATAAATAGAATAAAATGATTTGGAACAAAATATTATTCTGCTATTTTAGGTACTAGGGTTTTATCAGTTTATCAATGATTTCCTGTATGCGTGGTTCACATTTAAAGGCAATTCACTACCATGTTTATGTCATCTAAGTATTTTGGAAGTATTATTTTTTAAAATTCAAACACTAATTTTTGCAGCAGATATATAGCTTTATACACTTTAATAATCATTTAAATATGGATTATTTATATTATCATCTTACCATCTTCTTTACTCTTGCCGAGCTTTTCAATAATGAGATCTTTAACATTGTCTGGAATCTTTTTCGAGTAACTTTCGAGTATAAGACGCTTAATCTCCTGACACCATTTCCTTTTCTGGTCAAGATTACGAGCCTGATGAAATAAATTGCATGTGAAAGTAAATTTAAAGAAAATAGAACGCTTATAATCATCACCATACTTCAATAAGTTGAAGCTGCACATGTTCACAGATTTGCCCTTAGTGATGTTGTGGTTAAGTTAAACCTAGGAGTTGTAGGTTCAGGCCCTTCTAAAATTAAACCATCTGCTGGTTAATCCAGAAAAAAAATAATCAAAAGCTACTTATGTAAGTTTTGAAAAAGAAAAAAGTACATGTATAATGTATACAAGAATACTATATTTATTGTTAGTTCTGGTTTCAACACCGATTTTAGAACAGTTTTGGTCATACTGGTATCTTGGTGGAGTCATTTTATCAGGTTTTCTGGGTAACTAACGAGTTATTACCAATTTCTCTGCAAGTGACAGACTGCTCATAATGAAACCCACAGGAGACAAAAATACTAACTTCCAAAATAAATATGGTACCATATACTTACATGGATGATATGAGCAGCTTTAGGGTTATCGAAGGGAATAATCTGGAAGTTGAGGGGTTCCTTAGGGATGCTTTCTACTAACATCAACTGGTTACACTGAAAGTAAACAAAATATGATATCAAATCATTTCATGATGTAAGTATGACAGCTTTAAGATAAAACAAGAGCAGCGCATGTGGTGTTAATGCTTGCCTGTTAAAATTTTAAGTAAAAAAGGGGAATAACTTCAAAAATATTGCTTTCAGAGTTTGTTTGTTTGTTTGATTGGGTTTAACATCACACCGACACAGTATAGGTCATTTGGCGACGTTCCAGCTTTACTGGTGGAGGAAGACCTCAGGCGCCCTTCCTTGCATTATTTCAGGCATGAACGGGCACCTGAGTAGAACCACTGACGTTCCGTAAGCTAGCTGGATAGCACTTTCAGAGTTATGCCCCTAAAAACTGCACCTTGTCATGAAAAGCAATAACTCAAAGTTTCATGTTAATAACTTTTAAATGTTTAAATAATAGGCTACATTAAAGCTTTTGCATGACAACAATGACATTATGCAGCGATCATAATAGCTCAACTTTTTCATCGAAGCAGACAACTAATTATGCTAAAGGTGCATTTCAACACTTCAACACACTGACACTGTTAGCAACAGCTGATGAGTTTTAAGCTGATAATCAATAATTATGTCAAATCAATAATTATGTCAGACTGCATGTTTTAAATGAATTAAAATATATTACGCAAAACATTCCAAAGATTTAACAACAACATCATATATATATACTTTCTTTTTAACGTTTAACCTACTGGAAGCAACAGTGATAAGCCTTTGGCACTAGAATACAGTCAGGCCACACAGCACATCCATGCTGTCTGACCAGGCTTTATGCTATTGGCTGACCAACTTCAAATTCTCGTCCTCACATACCCTAAGTTGATTAATAACAGATGAGTTTTAGAGAAATCAGGGTACTAGAAAACATTAACCCTTTCCCTCTTGAGCATATTGTGAAAAATGGCCATTTTCACTTAAAAGCCTCCTCTTACAAGTTCAAACTGCTATGAAAAATGCTTCAATACTAATCAAACTTGGCACAAATGTTGACTTGACCATTGCCTTTGTAACGACATGCTCAGTCTTAAATTTCCTGTTACCATGGCAACGAAAGGACATCTCAAAATTGCCAAAAATCACTATTTTGCCTCGATTTTTTCCATCAAAATTAATTTCAAAGTGCTGCAACTTCTCAAGGGATTGAGATAGAGTCAAAGGCTTTTCAGCGTTGGGGACACGTTACCTTATGATCGACCTGGGGTCATTTTAAGCCTCTCACAAGTCCAAAATTTGCTTGGCAACCCCCTGAGGTATCTTTTGAATGGGGGGCGGCGCCGAAAAAGTGCTCACTTTTTTTAGCAACATTTCACAAACTAAAACATGTGTTTGGGGCCCAAATAGGACATTTTTTCACTATTTCAGGCCTAAAAAAAGGGGGGGGGGGTAGAAAGTGCGTTGTTTCGCGTATATATGAGGTAAAGGGTTACTTCAAAGAGGATAACAGATGTCGGAAAAAAAGAGCAGGAAGGTTTAAAAAGTTGATCGGCAGATTGACAGACAAAACAAATTTGCTCATATAAAACATATACAACAAACTCTACTAATAATGATATTACTTATAATGATAGAATGGTTATGACGATGCTTTTGCCTTGGTCTCAAATTGGTTGACTCTTGGATATAAGGCTATCAAATTATAACAATATAAATTTGGCGGTCCCCTTAATAACATTATAAGCAGATTTCACTGTATTTAAGTTGAATAGATAAAATATGAAACACCAATAAAAGTTGAAAAGACAAAATAATGCATTCTGAATATTCTCAATCTTACCACTGCACTGATATCTTTCAAAGAATAAAAATTGACTAATGACAATGCAGACCAATGCTAGATTGCTCACCTGGGAACCATGTGCTCAAGCGGGTTAAAAGTTACATATCAACTTACGGGTATCACAGCCTTGCAACTCAGCATCCCGTCTTCTTTACGTTTGGCAATGATTACACCTTTCTCGAAAAGGAACAATTGACGTGAAGCCTTGACCCCAAACATACGAAATGACCCCTACAAATAGATGATAAGATATGAGTATAATATAGATAAAATCATACACATTTGTTAATTCAAATTCAACAAACATAATTATTCAAAATATTGTTAGAAAATATGGATACAACAGTGTACCTACTTTAACAAAGAGCATGCTTTAATTATCTTACTTTGATGATAATCATAAAACTATTTTAACCATGAAATTGTCAAGTGTGTTCAAATATTTTTATGATGTGCACTAAACATTTATTCACCATTAACAAACTAATAAATGATGTTTTACAGGTATTCTAAATATTCAATATTGCATCTCGTAAGTCAAGTATCTGCCAGGTACACACATAAAGCGAAACATGATATAAAATCATCATATAAAAATTTATCATTGTAATCTAAAACCTGATTTGAAATGTTGATTACCCTTAACACAAGTAAGCAGTACAGTGCTCAGTGAATTTCAATTTTTCACACTTTATCTATTATGTCTAAAGACTATACACCAATATATTGGTTCAAGCCATTTTGAACAATGAACATAGCAAATTCAAAAGAGGGTTAATGCACCATTTTTATGCATTAATATTCTGCAGAAGCACAAGGATGCATTTAAAACATGAGCCTGCATGCTGAGGGATTTAATGAGTCCAAGGACTTCTGCAGATGTAAATGCACGGAAAAAAGGTGCATGAAAGCTATTCTTACATAAAAGTTTATGTCTGATTCAGTAATTACACATTTAGTTATTTGTTTTTTTGTATTAAAAACTAATACTGTAATGCTATGCAAGTACTAGTGTGATGTAATTCGACATATATATTTTGATAATGAAACTCACTAGGTCATCATTGCAGTAAGCTTAGAATTTTACATACCCGATTATAAAAAACCTGTAACCAGGGCACATGCTGGTGCATAATCCGATAATTAATGTTTTCATCTCTGTTTATGTAAACCAGCAGGCAAACAAGAACTGTCGGAGGACAGTAACGCTCGACTATTCGAAAATTTGTCACAAGGGTGTTTCATTGAGTATAATAATGCTTACCTATATGAATACATAAAATTGTCCGAAAAGGTACAAACTCTTCAAGTTTCAATACATTTCCTTCAGTAGTTATGGAGAGACAAGCTTACATGCAAAAACTTTACCAAGAATTCATGAGTCGAAAAAGGGGCATAATTATGCAAAAAAGCAAATCAGAGTTATGGGACTTGTACCAATCATCTTAGATAATCACAGAGACCAAGTGTGTGAAGTTTCAATCCATTCCCTTCAGTAGTTATGGAGATACAAGCTTACATGCAAAAACTTAACCAAGAATTTCTAAGTCGAAAAAGGGGCATAATTATGTTAAAAAGCAAATCAGAGTTATGGGACTTGTGGCAATTATCTTAGATAATCACAGAGAACAAGTGTGTGAAGTTTCAATCCATTCCCTTCAGTAGTTATGGAGATACCAGCTTACACGCAAAAACTTAACCAAGAATTTCTAAGTCGAAAAAGGGGCATAATTATGTAAAAAAGCAAATCAGAGTTATGGGACTTGTGCCAATCATCTTAGATAATCACAGAGAACAAGTGTGTGAAGTTTCAATCCATTCCCTTCAGTAGTTATGGAAATAACAGCTTACATACAAAAACTTAACCAAGAATTTCTAAGTCGAAAAAGGGGCATAATTATGAAAAAAAGCAAATCAGAGTTATGGGACTTGTGCCAATCATCTTAGATAATCACAGAGAACAAGTGTGTGAAGTTTCAATCAATTCCCTTCAGTAGTTATGGAGATAACAGCTTACATACAAAAACTTAACCAAGAATTTCTAAGTCGAAAAAGGGGCATAATTATGAAAAAAAGCAAATCAGAGTTATGGGACTTGTGCCAATCATCTTAGATAATCACAGAGAACAAGTGTGTGAAGTTTCAATCCATTCCCTTCAGTAGTTATGGAGATACCAGCTTACATGCAAAAACTTAACCAAGAATTTCTAAGTCGAAAAAGGGGCATAATAATAAAAAAAGCAAATCAGAGTTATGGGACTTGTGCAAATCATCTTAGATAATCACAGAGAACAAGTGTGTGAAGTTTCAATCCATTCCCTTCAGTAGTTATGGAGATACCAGCTTACATACAAAAACTTAACCAAGAATTTCTAAGTCGAAAAAGGGGCATAATTATGAAAAAAAGCAAATCAGAGTTATGGGACTTGTGCCAATCATCTAAGATAATCACAGAGAACAAGTGTGTGAAGTTTCAATCCATTCCCTTCAGTAGTTATGGAGATACCAGCTTACATACAAAAACTTAACCACAGGGACGCCGACGCCGACGCCGACGCCGACGCCGACAAATGGGTGACTGCATTAGCTCGATTATTCTGCGAATAGTCGAGCTAAAAATGGTTTGCATGTTTCACATGTTTAACTATATAAGTTATATGTCTAATGGTGCTTTAATAATTGAGCAGAACATTAAATTTTGCAAACCAATGCACCTCTTCTATTTCCTCTATAATGCGCCAAAAGAGTCTATCGTAGGTGCCAAAAGAGTTTATCTGAGGCTTTGTTTGTTTGTTTGTTTTGGGTTTTACGTCACATCGACACAGTATAGGTCATATCGCGACTTCCAGCTTTACTGGTGGAGGAAGACCTCAGGTGCCCTTCCGTGCATTATTTCAGGCACGAACGGGCACCTGAGTAGAACCACCGACGTTCCGTAAGCTAGTTGGATAGCTTCCTCACATGAAAGAATCCAAAGTCCCTGTTGGGATTCGAACCTACAGCGGTGAGGGGCAAGTGATTTGAAGTCAACGACCTTAACCACTCGGCCACGGACGCCCCTTATCGGAGGCATAAGCAAATAAAATTCAATTATGTGTATACCTCAAGTACAAGTTCTCCCAGCATTGTAAAGTCCTCGCCTTCATAGTCTTCTAGTTGTGACTGTATTTCTTGAACACGCACGGCGTGCTCGTGTTTCCGTTTCATCTCATTGATTTGATGTGACATGTTGGTCATGTGATTTAGAGCTGAGACCAACTTGTCATGCCCGGGATCCTTCTTACTGTAGTGCTTCAGAATATTCTAGAAAAGAAAACATTGCTTATTCTAAATCATTCCTTTCCAAATTACATACATTCTATTTTCATGTTTTTTGATTAACACCAAAATCTCTTTTGGAAAGCAGGAATTGATGATGATATTATATTGATGATATTATATTGCAAAACAATTGAAAAACCTGAAGTAGGTTAACCTTGAATTTATGCCTGATAGAACTGGTATTATAATGTTCATGTACCTTGTATACAGAAAAATTCTTATTAATCTTATTTGTTTGATAAATCATGTTGGGCATCCGGTAAATAACTTACAAAAAAAAAATATTGAACAAGCTAAAACTTGCCTGAAATGTCAGTCAGGAAATACCTAATCAGAAGGCCTGACATAATACTGGTAAAATTGACTTATGTTGGAAAATTTAAGCTAAGTAAAGGAAAATAGAATTCCAAGATTAAGACCATTCTTCTTCCACTTTTACCATTTTAATTATGGTTTCAAATATCGTAGGTCAAGAGTTACATAAATGTACAAAATCATTGCCTAAAGAGCAGGATGGCAATGACCATAGATATGCTCATTTTCTAAGATTTCCTAATGGGTTATAAAATATTGAAGCCCAAAATTACCTGAAGCAGAAGATGATATTTTAAAACTCTCTGGACTGGTTTCAGTAAATACGCTCCCAGTGGTAGACTGTGATTCAATGCTAACTGTCTCTGTTTAAACACAGAATTAAGATGAGGATCACACATGACCTTTGTCAACACTGCCACAGCACTGCAAAACACAAATATTGTATCTTCTTATACTTTAATGATCAGCAATATGGTGCTCAACTAGAGCTGTGATTGATTCAATGCAAAGCATATTGGCGATATATCGATATCAGATGAAAAATACTTGCGATGCACTGATATATACATGTATAGATAATTCCTTATAATTAATTGTTTATCATGCACTTTCATACCTATTTACATGATTTCAGTAACAAAACATAATTATTCTGTTCATACAATATTACGAAGTGCCTTGTTTATAAATGTCAATGGCATGATTTTTTTTATCTCATCACTGCTATGAAATATGCTCATTATACAATGACACCATAGTTTAAGACATGGACACCTGCTTCTGTATATGCTTTGTGTAAATTTTCATAATTTCTACTCTTTAAATCAATAAGTCAATATTACAAAAAAAATTCAAGTATGTATCGATAAATAATCAACAAAAAAATTTTGATAATACATTGATATTGTTTTTATCGCTGACAGCTCTTTACTTAATTGACAATGCTTGGGCCTATCTTAAAAAATTTGCTGACAAACTATGAGGTAAGGAAGAAAAATGATAATCACTGATCTCCGTAGCCTTTAATCTGTCTTATCAATCACAAATCTTACCTAAGGGTAGAATTTTTTTATGCAAGGTATCTAAATACTGGATATCTTATCAGTCAATATGGAAAAAACAATGACTGAGGCAGTTTCAAATCATGTTCTCAAATGCTGTCAAACCCTTGTGTCAAATTTTGTCAGTTATAATATTTATAGCTTGAAATTTATGCATTCGGGAAGTGTTACATGAATCAGAAATATCTTTCATGGTTAGGTAATTTCTTCAAGATTCTCAATGTTTGAGATGATAATGAAGTCCATTAGACAAAATAAACAGAAAAAAATAACCATATGTAATGTCCCCATTTTCCCAAAAGAATGTGAAAAAAAATCTGTTTTGCATTTTTTGTACTTCCTGTTACATAACATTGCACAGAAACATGGTACAACATTGACAGAGTGTTGTATCTATGCATAAAGGTGAATGTAACAATGCAAATAACAGCCCCTGTACATTTGATAACATGAAACACATAGGAGGAAATAGAGTTATATTGTCAAAGGGTTAGCTGCAACTGTTACGAAAAAAAAGACTACATTTCAAACATAATCGGCAATGTATCTGTATATCATTTTGATTTGGTTTTAAGACACTGATATTGAGATTTTACTGCTGTCTTTGTGACAGAAGACCTTAACTTGATCTCTAACAAGCAAAGATTGAGGTAAAAGTGGGTACCCAACCTGTACCACCAAAAATTCAAAATTTTTATCAGAGCATAATTATGAAAGAAATAATGCAGGGTACAAACCTTGGATAATTTGTACAATAGTGAGCATATATCACAAATCCTTCACTGTTCTTCAAGAAACATCCTGCAACTTTTATAGGGTCCATCCCACAATCCTCTAGCTCTGACAGGAAGTGACTGTAATATGGTAAATTTCAATAATATCCTGACTTAAAAGATGTCATATCTACTACACAAATGAAAGAATAGATAGATTTACTGCCACATATTGTTAGAAGGTTCCTTATGTTAACTGACTTACAGACAATGGTAGCGACTTGGCAAAATTGTCCTTCAAAATATTTTTGGCTGGCAAAATAGTCCATTAAAATTTTTGGGTGGCAAACTGGTCCGAAGCAAAAATGTTCTGCTTGCCAAATGCTGTTCAAGGTTATATGGCTACTTTTCAAATATATAGTTTAAAAGTTAGCTTCTTTAATTGATGAAAAAGTTGTATACAGTTTCTTTACAAAAACTTTCAAATGAAAAACCTATTACTGCGACTGAAACTTAATCTATCACTAAATTTGCAAAATTTTTATATGGAAAATATTAAAGCATTGTTACCGGCTAAAGTTATATATTTCTAATATATTTCCAAACAGGCACTCCCTCTCTTGTACAGTGATGTTTAGAGTTTTAGAATCTGCTATATGCTGATAGTAACCCTGTAAAAAAGCAAACAATACCAGATTTCATTAACAAATAAATACAGAAGAAAATACATGTATTAATGACCAAATGCATTATTATAATACATAGTTTGGACATCACCATGTAATATATTGATTTGAAGAAAACATTTCAGACACAAATAAGCACATTATCTGCTTCTATGAATGGGGTGCTGATACATTTTTGTGCAAAAGAATTTCTTAGCTTTATATTCCAAACTGAAAATTGTTCAGTACCAAAAGTTTGGAAATAGAGCAACTAACAGAAATTGGTAAATTGCAAAAATACAGACTGGGCAGCTTAATAAATTTATTGGTAAAATTGAGTCATTCATAGCAACTAGCATTCGGAGAGTTTATAAACTCAGGTTCAACTCTCAAATCCCTGGTTTATTATTAAAATTATGGAGGGGTAATGAAAATATTCATAAAGCACAGAGCTGTTTTCATCTTTTAATTCTAGGAGATATTTTGAGAGTTTGAAAATCTAAAGTTCAAACACTTTTAAAAATATGCAGCTTTTGTGAAGATTAAGATGAGATTTTGGGGCCATTAAAGTTATGATTCAGCAAATGCTTAAGATATTTGAAAGATTGTACACTCATTATCTTTACACAGATAACAATATTAAGATTTTTGAATTTTAACATTTTACACTGCTGATAAGCCTCTGTCCATCAGTAAGGACCCAGACCAGCCTGCATATCATTGCATTTTGAACAGGCTATAGACTACTGGCTGACTAACCTTTATTTTTCATCTTGATATCCCCAAATTGATAATAGACATTCGATTTTGAAAGCTGGAAAGGTCCATTTAAAAAATCTAGCAGGTTTTGGATTAAGAAAGCGTCTTATTATAATTCAGGAAATGCAAGCCAGATTTAGTTAAAGAAATGCCTGCAGGTGGTCTCAAGGTCATAAATTTATACACCTGCTAATTAAAATCTCAATGGCATAATATAACAATGGCATATAGCAGTTTAAAAGAATCATAAATTTTATCATTTTTCAATTTCGAAAATAATAATATCAAATGATAAATACAAAAGGTCAGAACTTAACATGCATGAGAATAACTTTTCTGTACAATTTACTAATATAGCATGTGGTATAAGAATACATATATGCTTCATATAATACCTGTCATCATCATGAATGTTATTTTCACCAGTGACCAGAATGATTAATGTACCTACCTCATATATATATACTATAATTACATACTAGCTGTGAATTTGATAGAATGTTCATTCCCCTTTATGATAAATGATCATGTGTCAAGAAGGCAAAAGTATGCAAGTAACATGTGTAATAACAAGTTTTTTAACCAGTTTTTTGTTTTCCTTACATGTACTAACAGGTGGAAAATAGAAAATACAAGAACAATTTCAATCGCCAATGTTTGTGAAATATATATGCATCTGTTTTGTCAATTAAAGAGTAGGCCTTTATAAATAAGAAATGCATGTACTTTGACAGCGGAATATAAATATTGCATTAAAATTATCTATTGTGCATAGTATTTACATGAGTGACCTCTTTTGTGAATTATAATTACAACAATATACAATGTAGTAACTTTCTCGTCTTCATTTCCATATAAAACTTTTACCATTTAACTCTCTAAATACTAGAAGTGACAAAAATTACCTATGCTACTAGTACATAGGTGTGCCAGTCTGCAAATCTATGCAACTTAATCAGACTGTGCTGTTCTAGCTAACATCTTAAAAGGGCAGGGTTTGAAATACAATGTACTTTGAAAGCTAAGTTTGTGCTTGTCAACATGGTAATTTTTCTAAAGGAAAGGGTAAACAAACCTTTATGCACACAATTGTTAAAAAGAACCTTTGGCAGGAAGAGCTTAGCTAGGGGAGGGAGTCCCCGCCCCCCTCCTCCCCCCTCTGAAGTAGTGGTTTTGGGTAGGTTCCTCTAAGAAAATTAATTTTACAAAATACAAACTGAAGAAGTTAGACATCCGTTGACAAACTTCAGAGTATGACTCTTTGCATTCAACTTTACCACCTAGACACCCAATCCAGTGACGAGTGGAGACATTGAAAATCCTTGTAAAGCTCCAACAGTCAGACTGTAAACTCACATCTTTTACTATTTTGGTAACAGGATGAAACCATAATATTGACTATAATACCCTAAAATACTAATATTAAATTCACTTTAAACTGTCAAAGCTCCAAATTCAAAGAAGGAGAAGACAAGTTTACAAAATTAACAGTGCAGGAATTATGTAACTTTCACAATTATGTACATAAATGACACTTAAACTTCAATAAACTGATCCCTGTAATCATAATTAAACTTTAATTACATAAAATTCACCAGTTGTTGGGGAAAAGTCTACTTTGATTTTTATTTCATCTTAAATTTGACACAATAAAAAACATAATGTCTTTTTAAGTGTCCTGGGCCAGGATGTAGATCTATTAGGTAACCTACACTTTGTCTCTTAAAAAGGCAAAAAAGAAAATGGCAACAAGCTTGTTTATTAACAAGGTGTTGAATTACGCTATCTCATTACACCATCCTATTAAAATTGATAATTAAAACCTACTTATAATGCAGGAGAATGTGGTAGAGATATCTATGTACCCATAAATAGAATGATAGTTCATGATATTAATCATGATGATCACAATATATGAGCTTTAAGCATTCCAAGCTCTGATTAGCTAATCATTTTGGTCAAGATAATTCTTATGTCAATGGCTATTATATAAAAGTATGAAACATTTTTTAAATCAACCCACCTGCTTTATATCTTGTAGATTCCAAACATATGTTCTCTCTGTTTCCACAAGTTCAGTGACTACTCTCTGTACATAGCTCACATAGTGAGCCTGCTGTTTCAATGAAGTTGACCTTGACATTCCAATTGACTTCTGTGATGACCTTGATGGTGACCTTCTGACCTTTTCACCTTCTGAATTACTATCAACAGACTTTTGGTCAGAGGTCAAGGATGATATATCAGCAGTGCTGCTATTGGCAGAATTAGCTGAAGTGAATGATAAGTTTGTATTTGATTGGTCGAGAGACAATGATCTTTCTTGTTTCAAGAGTTCTGGTTGGTCCGATTCATTTATAGAATGGTCCACAGATGAATGAGACTCTGAGTCACCCCCTGACTTTCCTTTATCCTCTGAGGACACAGAAAGTTCTTCAGCACTTCTTTCATGCCCATCTTCTTCAATGTTGTCATCAATGTATAAAATATTGTCAAGTTTTTCAATATCTAGCTGACTAGAGCTGGGTGATTCAACATATTCACTAAGATTTGGTCGCTTTCTTCTTCTTGGAAGAGAAGAGGTTGATGAGGAAGACATTGAGCTTATACTTAAAGGTCTCTTCTTATTATCTTCATCCAGATCAACTGGATTTCTATGTTCAGAGTCAACCCTTACTCTGTTTTTCTTAAACTTGTTCTCAACCTCAGAGTTTGCACTATTTGGCTGATTTAAAAGTTCCCTGAATTTTGATTGGTCAATAATTGTATGTCTGGAAAGAAGAGGTGAAGATTTTGGTGAATGACATTGGTTATCAGAGCCATCCTCCAAGCTATCATTGGTCACAAAGTATTCAACTTCTGATTGGTCATCTGGTCCCTTATCCATTTTGTCATTGGCTGATGCAATCTTGTCATATATTCCTAATAAGGTTGGGGTGAGATCAATGGAGGGCCCTGAAAATATATGAAAAAAAGATAATGTTAAATTCAATTTCAAAATAACAAATATTCAGTTGTTTTTTTTTCTCCTAGGCATTCTTGCATTTTCACTGCAATAAGATATTTGAATTACAAATCAAAAGAACTGTTATGACCTGACTGACAAATCTTTCCATAAAGTAAATGTTACTATATTAATGAAATGAAATGGTCAAGCTTTGAGTTCAGAATTGTCCATTGCTTACAAAATGATTGTAATTAATTCTCTATATCTGCCTTTTCCATTTTTAAAAAAAATTAACATTTAAATCCCTTATACTTTGAATGGACTGTTCCAAATTCAAAGCTGGGCTAGTACATTACAGCAGGGTAGGGTTAAGAGGACAATTGTATAGATTTTGGTTAATACCAAAAGGCCTCAGACGGCATAATTATACAAGTTTTCAAACAGTTATAATAAATAAACCTAAAAGCACATTTTTTGCGTCTAGCAAATTTCAAGGTGACAGGGTTAATATCACTTCATATCAACCAAACAATGAGTCAATAGGAAGTAATTTAAAATATTCATTTTCATGGCGAGATTGAAAAAAATCTAATTTTAACCACTCAATGTATAATCATTTCTCAATTATATGGTTTTAAACTATTTTCATTTGTTAAGAGAGGTGTGACCATCAAATGAGTATGTGTTCACGACTGCAGTGAAACACTTTTGCAAAACAAATATAAATAAACATTCAGGGATTGTAAGTTTGATGCTCAACTAAAGTAACTAATTGGACTTTAGTTATAAGTTCCATGTGAACATACTAATAATTGTATTTAGGTATGACCTTAACTAATGAACATAAACATATGTATTTTCTTCATACATGTTTCAAGAACTGGGTGTATATACTTCTAGCATAAAAAATTCCATGCCAGACAGTCTATCCTTCAAATTATGAGAAAAACAAAGTAAATAATGGCATGGTTGAAAAATAGCTTATACAGCATTCATAACAGGCCAGATGATATGACAATCAACAACCAAAAAAATACATGCCTGCTAGTTTTGCTTGTAATATCAGTTATACCTGGTAGGATAATAAACAACTGTTTGGACCAGTGTTACAATTATATCTTTATCCCCGACTTTTTTCACCACACACCTCTACAACAATGATCTAGCTGTCATAATTTAACAATAAACTAAATACTAACATCTAGTAATGTTAACAAAATCACTGCCAATGTAAACATTCAGCTTCATAAAGACCATATGAAGAAGTCCAAGCAACAGTACATTAACTCCATGTACTTGGAAAGAACAATTTACGACTTTGTTGCAATGCCCATGAGATTTATTACAAGAATGGCTTTCCATACACCAGAGATCAAGGGATGGTACCAAATGTTTAATTAATATCTGTTACTTTGTATACATTTGAAAGCTTCTGATTGTTTCAAATAATTAACATATATATTACCTATAAAAAGCAGAGATACCTACTTAGTAATGAATAAAGTAGTTCAAACATTGGCTTCACCTTGACCCTGCTATTCTGGAATATTCTGCTCACATATATTTTGGTCATGCACTAACTAATTGTACTACCAGCATTGTATTATTTTATGTATAGTCAAAATATTGTGTTATTTCATGCATAATGAAATATTGTGTTATCTAATGTAATCATGTATAGTCAAAATTTGTATTTCTTATGTTACTGAAACATATATAACTTATGTATGGTCAAAATGTTGTATTAACCTATGTATAGTTGTAAATTTGTGTAATGATATGTATAGTTCCTATATTGTATTATGTAAATGTAGAATTATGCATAGTTAATTATTGTGTTAACATACATATAGTCGAAATATTGTATTATTTTATGTTAAGTCAAAATATTGTGTTATTTCATATAAAGTCAAAGTATTGTAATATTTTATATATAATCATTATATTGAGTTATCATAATTGTATAGTCGATATATTGAGTTATCATATGTATAGTCGACATATTGAGTTATCATATGTATAGTCGATATATTGAGTTATCATATGTATAGTCGATATATTGAGTTATCATATGTATAGTCGACATATTGAGTTATCATATGTATACTCAATATATTGAGTTATCATATGTATAGTCGACATATTGAGTTATCATATGTATAGTCGATATATTGAGTTATCATATGTATAGTCGACATATTGAGTTATCATATGTATAGTCGATATATTGAGTTATCATATGTATAGTCGACATATTGAGTTATCATATGTATAGTCAATATATTGAGTTATCATATGTATAGTCGACATATTGAGTTATCATATGTATAGTCGATATATTGAGTTATCATATGTATAGTCGACATATTGAGATATCATATGTATAGTCAACTTATTGAGTTATCATATGTTTAACAAGAGTATCTCAGAGTCTGCTAAATAGATAAACCTAGTTTGACTTTATCCTTACTCTATAATGATGGTATATGTGTTAATCATTATAAGTTCAAGTGTTCAACAGGTTAACAAGCATAAAATAATTATCAACATATGGAGATAATAATTACTTCATGAAATAAAAACTGAAAATTGATAGATGATTTTACGATAATAATAATTATGATTTATGATTTTTTTTAAGGAAAAAGTATGTTTCATATATAATTAGACTTGGTGGCTGTATGTTTGTTTTCTTGTTGTTGGACTTTATTAGTCTCGGCAATACTATAGGTCACATGACAATGTTTCTGCTTCGCCTTAGATGTCCTTTAATGCTTTTCTATGGCACAAGCCAGCATATGAGGAAAACCACCCAACTCTATAACCTAGCTACATAGGTCTTTCACATAAAATAATTAATTTCAAACCAGAAACCTTAACAATTGGCCATAGAAAGGCCTGAATAAATATTAGTTTTATAAATTTTCATGCATCCTGAAACATCTGACAAACTTACTATAATAAATCAAAACAACAAAATAACACAGAGAAAGCTCTGATTATTGCGAACTGTCATAGACTTATACAACTGTTAATGATTTATTTTCAAAAATTACAGATGTTATGAAAAGATTGCATATGATGATTCACCGGCATTGCTTCAGATGATAACAAAAAATGATGTACTGCAGGTGTAAACAAAGACAGATAACTCTAACCTTATCATCTGGAGAACTACTTTACCTTCTTTCTTTTTATTTAATATACCCAGCGCTTGCGATAATATCTCTGCATTTTCCTTGTTACCTTTTCATCATGTTTACAAAAGATGTCTCTGTGAGACATTTACACCAAACAGATGGATAAATTCATCTCACCAATCTTGTAATATACACTACTAATTTCACCAAAACATACTATTAATCCGGATTTTAGATGTTGACACATTAAGTGAAGTATCTATAACTACAATATCATATTATTCGTGAAAAAGGAATTTTACAATCTGATATTATTTAAATTTACTATAATGTACCATCTCGGCTATAACATTTTTGTATTACTTCACAGTTAATGTATTTTAGTAGATGTCAGATAACTTGAGAGAGAAAAAAATATAAATGTATGTGGATAAGAATGCCTTGCCTAATATGTTATGTCGTTTATTTCGCAAAAAAAACCATCAAAATTAAACTGCTGACTCAGCTTCTCTATTCTGTCATACATGTTGCAAATATAAGCCTTTCTAAAATTTTAACTTTGTAAGAGAATGAACTGACTTCTATTTTTAATATTTAGAACTCCCTACCCTTCTTCCTACTAATAAATTATCAGAGAACAATGTACAAAAATTTTCTTAGAATACAAGATACTAAAATTTTCTTTTCTTCCTGACATTTTATAAGTTAGGAGGGTTAATGATTTAATGGTATGCATTGTAAATAAACATGAAGAGGACTCACTTTTGATGTTCAAATCTGGTTGCAAACAAGCCATGATAAAATACTTGTTAGTAAAAGATGTCTAACCTTGCAATGTTATCTCTTATACACTGAACAATCAACATCAAAGAAGTGCATTTAGAGATGCACATGCCTTATAATTAATTACAGACAGAACAACATGCCTTACTTCATTAATTTTTTACCTGGAAACATTTGAATTTTTTTTGTTTTTTTGTAAATCATTAATTTTAAGGACATAATTATTGTTTTCACTTGCATAATCATTAAGGGATAATGTATCTATGACAAAATACGAAATAACTGATTGATCGTTGTATTATTAATGCTTGAAAAATGAAATATACGTGCATTTCACATCGAAAAACCTACACAAGGTCAAAATAATTTTTCATTTTGAAAGTCAGAATCTCTCTGAGGTATATATACATAATTATGTAAAAATGATATAATACCATAATATCTGGACTCACAGAGGACAAAAATTTAACATATTTTGGAGTATCTGCTGCCTTATTTCCAAGATTTCATTTCCTTTTTATATGCATTATACATAAGAGATCCTTCTTCTTCCATAATTGAGTATATTTCATACATTGATATTATATGTACATTAAATCATTACTTGTACAGAATTTATTCAAGAAAATGCCTATAAATCAATTGTTATCACCCATGACCTTGTCCAGCTGGCAGTGGCAGTTTGCCTTATTGCTGAATTATTGTCAAACCATCATTCATCGTTGGATATAAAAAAAAATTCTGCATGTCACTATGACAAAAGCAATTAATTAAACTATATTATATCCTCTTAAATTTCAGTACTTTTCAAAAGCATCAAGTTTTTTTCTTTTTTAAAAATAAGACTGATTCACAATTGTATTAAAAGATTTTAGCCTCAATTCGGGAAAGAATTTAAAGATTAGAATGAAATGCAGCCTTTAATTATTACCTTTGTCAAAGAGCTGTCCCCATAAAGAGTTGACATTAACTCCTGTATCGTACTGCTCCATCCTCAATTATATCACTTATTTCCTCATTATAATCATCCTATTTCACAACACAAGAACACATTTCTGCATCTGACACACTAATCTTATTAACTG